GAAACGTCTGGTTCATCGCCGTATACTGCCCTCGTCAGTGTGCTGCCAGTAATGGATCAGGCATCCAATTCAAGAATGACCTGACCACCATCACTCGCATGAGCTCACAGTTCGTCATTGGGGGCGATTTAAATGCTCGCCATGAAGCATAGCAGAACGAACGTCTGCTCTTCGACCACTCACAGTATGGGCTGTCCAATATCCGGATGAACCGACATTCATCTCTCCGGCAGGAAACCCTTCCACGCTGGACTTCTTCTTAACGAACTTCACGCTATCCAGGCCGGTGTCAATCAACGATCTAAGCTCCGACCACCAACCGGTGGTGGCTGAAGTCGGCATCAACGTGGTACCTGCTCAAAGCCTGCGCAAAGATTACCATCATGTCAACTGGGTGCAGTTTGGGCATGTGGTTGACATCCTGTCATCGATGAAAATCCGCCGCTTGATACCGTAGAAGACATCGACCGGGCACTGGAAGGACTCCACCAGGCCATATCCGTGGCTGACGAGACGTGTGCTCGACAAGTTCCTGTAAGGGGTAAGTTTGTTGCTACTGATTCCCACACCCAATTACTGATTCGGTTGAGAAATGTTCGTAGACGCCAGTTTCAGAGAACTGGAGATCTAAGCAAAAAACGTGAAATGGCCGATCTGAACAGGCACTTCGCACACGCACTTCAAAATGAAAGTTTCGGGCGTGTTGTTCAGAACTTGGATGACCGCTCCCGTCCATTCTGCAAGGTAGCCAAGGTGCTGAAAACTCATCCCAAACCCGTTCCACCTCTCAGAGTCGGAAATGATGACAATCGGCTCAAAATCACCCGACAGGAGAAAGCAAATGCGATCGGCAAGCATGTCGCTTCATCGCATTTGCTTGGCTCGACTATCCAAAGTCCACTCGATGATCAGGTTGCGCAATGCGTTCAAACCCTAGATGCCTCCCCTTGTGTCGTGCCTCCGGCGGATATGATAACAGTAGAACAGATTTGCTCAGCGCTGAAATGCACCAAGAACATGAAGGCTCCCGGGTTTGACGGTATATTCAACTTGATCTTGAAGAGACTCAGCATGAAAGTGCAGGCTCTTCTAACCGCTATCTTCAACAGATGCTTGGAACTGCACTACTTTCCAAGCATCTGGAAAGTAGCAAAAATCATACCAATCCGCAAACCTGGTAAGGATCCAACATTGTCTTCAAGCTCTTCAAGCTACAGACCAATCAGCCTCCTTTCAGCGCTGAGCAAATTGTTCGAGAAACTCATTCTCAATCGTTTGCTCAAGTTTGACGAGGAAAATAACATTCTCCTTCCGGAACAGTTTGGGTTCAGAAAGGGGCACTCCACCAATCACCAGCTAGTACGGGTGATGAATAACATCCGAAGTAACAAAGCTGTATCTAAGTCCACAGCCATGGCCTTGTTAGACGTTGAAAAGGCGTTTGACAATGTTTGGCATGACGGACTTGTGTACAAGCTTTGTAGCTTCAACTTCCGATTACATCTGGTTAAAATCACCCGTAACTACCTCCAGCAAAGGTCGTTTAAGGTATCGTTGAATGGTTGTCTTTCAGACACATTTTCCATCCCAGCAGCAGTCCCGCAAGGCAGTCTGCTGGGCCCCTTGCTTTACAGCATTTATACTTCCGACATTCCTCCCCTCGGTGACGGTTGCGTGTTTTTCCTATTCGCAGATGATACCGCAATAGCCGTCAAATGAAGGATGCCTCGCGAAATAACGAACAAACTTCAACGATGCCTTAACGCCTTTGCTGATTATGCCACCACGTGGAAAATCAAAATCAATGCCTCCAAAACACAAGCGATCATGTTCCTCCATCGGCAATCGCCCAAACTGAAACCGGCTCCATCTTGTACTGTAATCATGGATGGCACAAGGGTTGAGTGGTCCACCGAAGTAACCTATCTCGGGATGTTGTTCGATGAAAAGCTCCTCTTCCGTTCGCATGTAGAGAAAACTGTAGTGAAGTGTTAGTGAAGTGGTTAGGTGTCTGTATCCGCTGATTTGCCGCAGATCCCGCCTCTCAAGGGTGAACAAACTGGCTGTCTACAAACAAATCATAGTGCCTGCTATCCTCTACGCAGCTCCGGTGTGGGAATCATGTGCACATACTCACAGGAACAAAATCCAAGTCGCTCAGAATAGAGTGCTGAGGATGGTACTTGATCGTCCTTTCGACACTAGAATAACAAATTTACACGAAGAGGCAGGCATTGCCAAAATAGATTCCAGAATTAACGAAATTAACACTAAATTTGCACAAAAATGTATTTTATCAGAACATGCTTTGATAAGCAATTTGTATATAGTAGATTAGGTGTATATACTGCCGCTCTTCGCATGTCGGTCCTAAAGCAATTTTTATCAAAACTGAGTTTTACAATGCAAATGGTAGCTGATCACCCATATTTTCATAATACTCGATGAACTCATAAACTTTGTTCTGAAAAAGTTTGGAAAGACAGCCAAATTGGTTGTCTTATCACATAAGAAGCAATGGTACGAATCAAGCTTAAAATGCGATTTTCTCGGCTTACTGATTTTTGCCATGGGACCGACATGCAAAGAGCGGCAGTATAGTAGTTGTAGGTTAGTTGTAGTAGTAGTCATAAGTAGTTTTCTTTTTCAATTTAAAACAAACCAATCTCACCAAGGTGGTCATTCTCTAAAACAGGCCTGATTGGACTAGGAACTGTAATTAATAATAATTGAAATTCAAAAGAACTAAAGTTGAAAAGATGCATCTGTGTCACTTGATAAGTTATACAAATTCAAGAAATACAGATCATTTAAAGTCAAAAAAGTTTTCTTCGTCATTTGCTTTCGAGCAACGGACGGATAAGCCAACAATTCAAAAACGGAAAGAGTTAAGATTTAAATGAAAAACATATTTTTTCCGGCCACTAGCGGTCCTACGTCAAGTTTCCGTTCGTGCCCCTAGGCACAGACCCTTCTACTTTTTCATATGCAGAATCTCGCCCAAAATATGGCGTGTGCGCTCAGTACTTATCTTTGCGGTATCTGCTAGCTCGCGTACCTTCACTTTCCGGTCAGCCGCTGCGGACTTGATCGGTAGTGGAGTTGCGGCCACCACGGAACTCTCGAAACCAATATTTGACGGTGTAATCTGACGTGTAAATATGTACAGTGATAAAACTTTTTAAAAACTGCCACTCTGCTGAGTCGAATTTTTTTTTTTTTTTCCTTTGGTTTGTTTTTTCCGTCGATCTTGTTTTCCGTGCTGAGCACCAATGCTACCGACGTGCCAGGAAGGCAGCTCCCACACCTGGACCCTACCTATCGACCCATCAACTCATGAACCGGGGACCAACGGCTTTACTTCCCATCCGAAGGAAGGCGTGATCAGAGATGTTATGCCTCAAGAACATCCCGGCGGCGCCGACTGGTATTGAACCCAGACCTGCTGGGGTGAGAGGTAATCACGCTTACCACTACACCACCGGCGCCGTTGAGTCGATATTTTGTCCCACCGAAAGTTTGTTTTGAGCACTATCCAGAAAATTGTTCTACCTAGCTAAGAATGACTGCGTGAGAGGAACTGTAGACCTTTTGAATTAGGGAGCCCAAGGGTTTTTTTTTTTGCTTGAAACAAAAAAACCGAAAATGAACCAAATATTAAGAGATTCCACCAAAAACAAGAGTCTCTCTCAGGGCTAAACATTACATTTAGGGAGTCTACAATTAGCACCCCGATTAAAACCAGTCACTTCCCATTATGAGTCGATTTCTTTTATGGTGTAATAATAATTTACGAATAGAGTTGAAGAAAATTTATTCACTTGTAAAAATATAAGCGGCTTCCTATAAACTAAACGAACAGTTCACAGTTCCGAATTGATGCATACGCCCACCGCAATTTGGAGCACACTGAGAAAAATCCATCGCTTCTTATTACTTGAAACCTACACAAATAATGAACCTATTTTCATTTAGGAGGAACTATCAATTCGTCACTCTAAGGAAACATGCATTAAGTACGTCAACCCCCCTTCCCTCTTTCGTCACGTTTTTCCTATTGCTTTACAAACATTTGTTAACCCCCATCCATCCCCCTTGGAGCGTGACGTACTTAAAGGAAGCTCCTTAATAGCTTTCCCACTTTCATCTTTTGCTACACTGTTGAATCGCGAAATCTACTGAAATCTTGCAAACATGTTTAAAATCAAATCAAAAAATGAAAAACGCATCAGCCACGAATACCAACAGCAATCATCGGATTACACATTCCGCCGTTAGCAATGAAAAGGGTGTTTATTTTCACGAGATGTGGTAATTGTAGGAAACATTTAATACGAAAAAAATATATATTGACTGTTATCCAAGCGTATTAGGTTATTGTTATGAACAAGAATTTTCGCTGTTTCCTTCCCGGCATTTTTCTTGCACAAGTGTGTGTGTTTATAATGGATGGAAGGTTAGCTTTTTCTAGTGGTTCGATCCAATCCGTGTTGACTTTTGTTCGACAGGAAACTAAAATTTAACCTTAAACAATTAGGAAACTTAAAACTAGGACGTTCGTGAATAAAACTCAAGATCAGTATTTTCAGTGTAGTAATTCTCACTCTCATTACGTGTGTGTGTGTGTGTGTGTGTGTGTGTGTGTGTGTGTGTGTGTGTTTGTTGGATGGGATGTGGATTAGTTGCCCTTTTTTCTTAAGAAGTAAGAATTTATTTCAGAACAGATTAAAGAGAAACACAACACAGATCAACGACAGGATGGTTAGAACGACAGAGATGATAACGATAAACGAAATGACCGATCGGCGAGTGACTCGGATCGGAGAACCCTCGCCGGTCGTGGCAGATTCGAGGTCCTGGCCGACGACGGCGACGAGGGTTACTTACGGTTCATTTTGTTTTGGGAAGGATAGAGAAAAAAGAAGCAGAAATGAAAAGAGAATAAAAGCAAACGTGAGTAACTAAAAGGCAAATTACAATAAATAAAGCGACTAAAATGATCTCATTTCAAGTGCCTCCGGTAGACGGCCAAAAAGGCACTCAAAATTGTCGTAATATTTTAACCATTATAAATATATAGAATTGCCTTCGATGCGTTGAAAAATACACTAAACCAAGCGCATCGGAGCCAGAAAAGAAAACTTTGATTTCACATCGGATCGTAACGCGAACCCCCTTCGGTAGTGATTATGGATTCAATTCTAGACTTCGTCTGCTTGATTAGAATCGGTACCTGCTGTCGGTTGACTGCTGTCGGCTTCGGCCCCATTCTTTCGATCGACCTCATCCAGCTCTTCCACCTCCATGCGCTGCTTCTCCAATGATTCATCACTTGTCCTGCTGTTTTCCAATGATTTCGACGCATCGTTATCACCGTCGTCTTCGTCTTCTTCCTCGATCAGCTTCCGGGCCAATTTGATCGCCTCGAACTCGTTATAGTGAGCCTTCCGGCGCCGTTCGAATTCCAACTTGTGCTGCTTTTGTTCATCATTCAGCTGTTCGTCATCTTCGTCGGACGATTCCTCATCAGTGTTGGAATCACTCTTCGCATTAGCAGCCACTCGAAGTCTGCAAAAGAAATTAGCACTCGTTACTGAAATACCGATCATATCACCTGACTGTCTGTTGACTGTGACCGCTTTTTTATATTTTCCTTTGCCATAAGTATGTACTTTGATGTTTCTTTAAACCAGCGGAGCACAATCTTGCTTATTCGCTAGTAGCTAATAAGCGAAGCATTGAAACATTTAGCGATCACTTAGCATCTCTAAATTTAGATCTCAAATTCGTTAATTTTCATCAGATATAATTTGCAAAAGAGCATTTCCAGGCCAAATAGCAACGAAAAATTGAATTTCTGACTTGACCTTTTCCGTTTTTCAGGAAACTTCGGTCACTTTGAATATCGCAAACTACTTTGTCTCAGACGTCATTTCGATTGGAAGTGACGTTTTCGTTCGTTGAAAAATCTCGAATACGCCATTTTGAAGTTTTTTGCAAGATTCTAAATGGCCAAAATTTAGCAAAAATGTGAATGATTGACCATAACAAAAACTTATGCAAAGTTTCCTGCAAATCGGAGAAGGTCGCATCGGATCGATTCGTCATTTGTTGTGGAACTGCTCAAAATAAGATTAATAATCAACCTCAAATGAATACATAATTCTTCACGTAATTGTATTATTTGCATGAATACAATCGAAATTAAATGGACGTTTTAAAATCATTATTTGTGTACACTCAATTCAGCTTTTACGCGATTCGGATTTTTTTTTTATTTTGCATTTTGGTACAGCATTTTTTAAACCATTAAATTTGGTTGCAAACTGAGATCACACGATCAAAAAACTGTTAACTTCTATGAAGCCCGTCAGTCGAAATTCCACCAATCCACCCCTAAAAAAATCAAATACAAACAATTGTAGTCCAAATGTATGCCCCTTGACTTCCCTTCGCTTCCCAACCCTCGAGACCACTAAGCGCACCCAATCGTAAACTGTGACCGAAATATAACAAAAATACCAACCTAATCTAGAACAAAACATAAATTCCACCCAGCCCTATCTCTCCACCAATAACAGCAAAAGGGTCAGCCGAGGAAACGTATTTGACCTTTAAAAAAAATAATAATAATGCTAACGGAGTGAAGCAGCTCGAGCCGTAACCGTACACAATCAAGCTGAATTATTATTATGACAAAAGCGCGAGACATGCAAACAGCAACTCATTTCCATAAAAATTTACGTCAGCCGGAGCGGTAGCCGGTAATGATCACACTCAAAGACAATAAACCGCTAGGTACTTAGCTGGCTAGTTATTTATAAAGTAAATATTAAACATATAATTATACTCACTTCTCCGCCAGCAGCTCGGCGTCCAGCTGATCGAGGTCCTCCGGTTCCACGTAGTTGTAGGGCGTCTTCGGTTCGTCCACCTTCATGTGGCCATAGTCCTTGTCCGGTGGGTGGTAGGTCTGCAGCACGTTCAGCTCATCGAACTTTGCACTTTTCCGATGACTACTGAAACGAAACAAAATCGCCTTAGTATCAACATCTCGAATTACACCGAGTGACCGAAAACCTACACCGCCGAAGCTGCGGCCACCGTCGCATGTTTGTCGAAACTGCTGGACGACTTTAGGATACCCTTGCAGGGCTTTTTCGCATCCGGCGAGTCCGCGTTGAGGGACATCTTACGTACTCTCGATTCCGCACTAATTTTGACGAATTTCCACTCGAACGATTCACTGGAAAGGAACAACAACACAGTCATTCAACTTTCCACGAAAAGCAGCTAAATCCCATGATTCAATCACATCCGGATGGCAGTCAGCAAAACTAATTAACCAGACAGCAGCTTTGTGTTGCTCTAGCTACATGCATCATCATCGGGAAAATAAACAAAGCGAACGCACTCAATGGGCTTTGTTTTCCTCCCACCCTCTGTGTCACAAAAGTCCTTGCGGTATTTACACGATTAGCACATTCTTTCTATATTCCCCCTTACGTTTTCCATACGGGAAAGGCGATTGACATTTCCGTTTTACCACCAACCCCGTTCCGACCCCGACCGTTGCACCCAGCAAAATTAAAATTCTTACCAAAGAAAACCGTATCAATGTCGGCGTTCTTTCCTGGATCTTGTTCCGGTACGCTAGGTACTCTGGAATTCAGGAACCTCTTCTTCTTAGTCACACCAAACTGCAACTCTTTCCCGGATCCGAATCAAATCTTCACTGCGAACCGCACTCTTCCTTTCGTCGTTGTCACTTGATTGTAATCTTGAGATTTACTACACAAGGAAACGAGTTTCGCACAGAGCAACAATCCCAACTGGTCCCGGACAGCTTTGTGGAAATTTTCCGAGGAAGATTATTATTGAGCTTTCTCCACTTACTGATTCTAGATTAAATCTAATTTCTGATAGATACAAGTTGTGTCTGGTGATGATGCCTGCCTTCTTACTTTTTTTTTGCAAAGTCGGTGATTTTTTCCACCGAAAGTCGATATATTTGACAGTTCTGGCGACAGTTGGGGCTAACGTAGCTCGCAGAGAAGGTTTTGGAAGGCCAGTCAAATATTACGTAGCGCGCTAAGGGGTAGCTCAGTTTATGTTACAAACTGTTACGTTTTAATGGAGAAAACAACTATTTTGAATGGTACACTGAGGCAAATAAACTATTTCATAAGGCTCGACTTACGAACGACACATATGAATTTCAAAAGCGTGACTTTTGCATGATTTTCGTCTAATATGAGGCAGCTCTTATACGCCTATAACCATTTAATTTTCCCAAGCGTTGAAAGACAAGTGGTCTACAGACAGGCCTTGTAATCTCAACGTCTAGGGTTTGGTTCCAATCTGCTTCGGTTTAATATTTTATGTCAACATTTTTTTTTTTATCCATTTAATTTATTTGTAAGGCTCAACCACAGACAAACAGACGTAGCTCTTCATTGTGTATCTTCGTTCACGCATTTAACGGTTGATTTGAATATTATCAGTTCCGCGAACTACTCGCCGCAGCGCTGGCATCGGATCACTTTGACGTTTCTATACATTCTATAGAACTTTTATGCAATATTGTTTGCGAGTTAGCGAACAAGCTTGTTTTCCGCGAGAAGCCTGAAAGATGTCGCTACTGAGGTCATATGTTTTGAGATACTATGTTTTCAAGAAAAACTTTCTCAAAGAGTTACGTCTGTTTGTCTGTGGCTCAACTGTTAATTAAAACTCTACGGATCCAAAAGTCAAGAGAATGAATAATAACAATTCATTTGAATTATTAAAACCAGGGGGTAAGTCACTCTGCCACCTTGTGTCCGTGCTTATTGTGTTTCTTCGGTGTTTTTGGGTGTCAGAAGGTGTTTCAGCGTGTTAACATAGTTGTCAAAACGTTGAGTGAAAAATAAAGTTTTCTGGCAACCACTGCATCTATCACAGCTGATTCCAATGCGATGTGTTTGCTGTTGATTGGAGAAAGGATAACAATAAACAATAAATTTTCAGACTCCTCCTGCCGAACGTGCTGCGATACGGATGAACGTGGACCAAGCCAGAGAACAACACACACTGGATTTGCACGCGGGAATACCGTGGTAAACGGAACAGCTGACTGTGTTTGGACGGGACAAAAACGTATACTTCAAAATATTGGAAGAAGGTAGGATAGGAGCGTCTCGAGAAGGGTAGTGAACCTGGTAGTGAATGTCACTGAGATTTTCTTTTTTTAGAACACAGACGCCGCTTTATTATCGCGTGCAAAAGGCAGCATTCGAGGGTTTGAATCGTTTAGTGGTTTGTTAAACGAACGGAGTGGCATCGACGGAGGGGAGAATTGTCTTCATGACTACTAACTACCTGGAGACGTTAGATCCTGCTTTGATATGACCGGGCCGTCAAAGAATACATCGGATATTGCAGCCGACAACCCATTACCGGCGGAATGGGTCGGAACGAGTGGTGACCTCCTCGTGAGAATACATGGAGCAAGGATCGATGCGAATATGATCGGGAGGATTCCAACTATGCCACCCTCGAAGCACGCATTTGGTCGTTTGATGTCTTAATATACTTAGTGAACGAGAACCGGTGCATATTTCATAGTAGTTCACGAATACGGAATGGATTTTTTTTCCAAGTAGCGCTAGTTCTGGCATACACACAAAATATACATAACCAGCTTTTTCTTCGTAACTGTCTTGATAGCCATATATGAACTTGTTGAGTGGCATAACGGGAAGAACAAAGCATATTCTGAATAATCCGATGAAATAGCCCACATCTGCTCAGCAACCATTCGATCAACTTTCATTATCGTGCCCCTTAGACTCGTCCTGCAAAAATTAACCGCCGGCTGTAGGCCGGATCTCTCTGATTTGGTAGTGCGTATATGGAATGACTACCAAATTAGAAAGGCATATCTTTCTACAGCTATCGGTCAATCATTGACTGGATGATTATTATGCGCTCATTTCTTCATATAGTTACGGATAATTTAGCTCATTAGAGGCTGAAATGGTCTGCTATTATTATGTTGAGCTTGACGTTGAATCATCATCCCCAATTGTGGGAGTCATCATTGCAGCAATAGAGACCCTAAAGGTGATGTAAGGCATTTCGAGTATCCATATCGGAAAAACGGAACATTTCACTTTTAAAGCATTTTTGTGTTTAGGCTACCAAGTGCTTTAAAAAATAACTATTGCATCAATGTGGATGAGTGATGAGATCTTGAAAACAATCAAAATAAATTATAAATTGTCCACACGCCTAGGCAGACCTGATTACTTACAAATGTCCTTCGGGCAAGTTCCACTAAAGTGTGTCAACTGGATAATGGTAGCCCCATCTTCGTGCGCTTCCACGGAGGACAGTTTCATCAGCGACACGCCACCTCCACCGGAATTCTGCGATGCACCACCCAATGGAACATTCGTCAAAAAATATAGCACGTGCCATTTGACCACAGTGGTCCTTTCGCTTCTCTTCCCTCGAGCCTTCCTTTACTCCGAAAATCTCCTTCTCAACGTACCCCTGCCTATGACCAACCCATTGGCCTCTATCATCTGTTTGCCGAACTTTAACCATTGATGGCCCCTTTCATCTCGCTTTAAATTAATACTCTCGATCGGCTTACCCAGACAATAAATCCCTCTGAAAACGGCGCACAGCCGGCAGAAACACTGCAGAATCTCCCCGCATCCGTACATCGGAAACAGAAACGGGCTGTTTCCGTATCGATCCAAACTAAGCAGAAACTTCTTCACCCCTTCCAACCCGTCCCGGCAGCTAGTGTGGTCATTCCCCATGGCGATTGTGAACAACAAGTAATGGATCAAATTCGAGGTCAACTTTTGTTTCTTCAAATACTCCAGGAACGTCTTTCCCTCGACTTCCGCTGCCTGATGCTCGCTCCCTTCTCCTTCCCCTTCACAACTTGCACAACTCTGCAGAAACTTCATCAACAGTCGCTTGTCCACCACATTCACGTCCCGACTTGTAAACACATCCATTCCAGATCGTCGCAACTCGGTCCACAGCTCGAAATTCCGCATACCGACCCTGATACCGACAGATGTTCGACGAAATCAGGAGTCCGTGTCCCGATCAGATTTCTGTGGAATCCTACCGATTGCTGGAGGGTGATCTCTACTTAAGAAAAATGCACAAAAACTAAAAAGAGCATCATAGGAATGTAAACATTCTTGGCTCTAGGCAGTGCTGCCAAAAAAGATTGAAAAATTGTTCTCATGGTGATTAATGGGTGTTTGAGTGTGTCGAAGAGTGTTTTTGATGTGTTTAGCACAAGGTGGCAGAGTGACTTACCCCCTGATTAAAACTAATCTGATCCGGTGCCCGAACGTGAAGAGCTGGGACGTAAGGTCTTCCTGAGCGGTGAACTATCATTGGCATACTTCTGTTACATTCAAAGTGTTTTTATGTTACTTCATACGCGAAGTTAGCGATTTTCAGAGTTGGTTGGAAATGCTAACATGAAGCTTTAGTGTGATAATTTATTAGCTAGAGAATGATCTTTAGAAGAGAGTAGGTGGATAGTTATTATTATTATTATTTAGCTTTATTTAGGAGGCTTTCAGTCTTAGGCTGGTTCGCCTCCAATAGGTGGATAGTTCCGTTAGAGTACGGCAGTATGAAATTTGAATAGAACTTGAAAATGAGCGAAGGGCCATTAATGCGACAGTTTTTAAAGTTATAGTACGTTCAGACTACAGAGTTATAACATGTTATAGTGCTATCTTGATGATGGTTTCTGTGTTGCAATTATTTGACAACCGTTATAACATGTTATAACTCTCCAGTCTGAACAAGACATTAGACGCACATCTTTTGCCTAACCCGTACGATGTACGCGGAGACTTGAAGTATGTCTCCAAGTCTACAGGCTTACATACTTCAAGTCTCCGCGTACATCGTACGGGTTAGGCAAAAGATGTGCGTCTAACTTTAAAAACTGTCGCATTAATGGCCCTTCGCTCATTTTCAACTTCTATTCAATTTTCATACTGCCGTTCTCTAACGGAGCTATCCACCTACTCTCTTCTAAAGATCATTCTCTAGCTAATAAACTATCACACATGTTAGCATTTCCAACGATCAAAATTTCTGATTTATACACCATGTTAAGTTGCTTAAATACAACTAAATCATAATGTTTTCTAATGTTTGACATCAGGCATACATTTGATTTCGATGCTGATGTAGACATCAAAATCAAACGTTGGGCTAATGTAAATTTCTATTCGGAAGAGGTGGACAGAGCCAACCCCTATGTCAATCATACAAGGTCTGGAACAACAACAGCTTGCTGGTGTTAGAAGCAAAAATGTTGTAAACATTGCTGAACAAGCGAATGACGATGTCACGGCAGCACAACATTCCATACTGCGAATGGCAGACGTGTCGTCACAGAAAACAGCTGTTTCGTGTAAAAAGATAAACATTGCGATGAAATACGAACACCACTAAACATTTCCACATTTCACTAATACCAATAAGCCGGTTGGGCCAGACCTTGTATAATTGACATCGAGCCAACCCTACACGTTGACCTTTCGATTGCCAAGCGCTTTAAGGCAGGGAAAAACTCTCACGCTATGCACAGCCACCTAGCGGAGCTACTCAGAACATAGTATGCCAATTTTCAACACCGCTTCATGGACGGCTCCAAGGCTGCGGGAAAAGTAGGATACGGAGTAGCAGATACGTTCAACAGTTTATTCTTTCGACTTCCCGATCAATGCTCCATCTACTCGGTGGAAGCCGCGGCCATCTACTTAGCCATTACTACGCCCTCCGATAAACCCATTTGCGTTCTAACAGATTCTGCCAGCGTTTTATATGCCTTGAATTCAGCAACATCAAAACATCCCTGGATCCAAGGAATACAAAAGACCGCACCGCCGAACACCTCATTTGTCTGGGTACCCGGCCATTGTGGTATACGTGGTAACTGCGAAGCGGACCATCTCGCCGCCACTGGGCGCACCGGCCGGATGACTACCACATCTGTTCCCAGTTCAGACATAAAAACATGGGTGAAAAAAACCTTTCGAGACGCCTGGTACCAAGTGGGGGTTACAAAAAGGGGACCTTTCTTAAGGAAAATAAAGGACGACAGCTTCAAATGGAAGGACACTACGACTCTACGACAGGTCCTATCTTGGCTCCGATCTGGACACACCCGAGTAACCCATAATATGGGCAGCGCTACATCTTTTCAGAAGTGCTGCGACGCCTGCAACACTATAATGACTGTCGAACACCTGATCGTCAACTGGCCTTGCTTCCAGAACATCCGGGCGAGCATCCGGGTTCACAACGGAATCCCGGACAACATACGCAATGCCCTGACTAACAACCCATCCACGGAAGCTGCTCCAATAACCTCTCAAAGACAACAACGACCACTGCCATCCCTTTTATGACGCGCCAATCACGTTGAACAACCACGAAACACAAACATTAACCGACTCTGTAAAAACCACTATGTACCAAGGGAACACCCTTAGCACACCTATATCCAGGAGAACCCCCTCAGGGTTCACCGAAAAATTCTAAACTACGTTACTATAGGGTTTAATGTATTATTTGGGACTTTTAGGACACTCGGATCTAAATAAACTGCACGCGTACATAGCAACAAAAAATGTAATATCGATCAATGTAATTCGAGCTGATGTATGAAATAATGATGTAATAGCAAAAAGCAGATACAATATTACATCAATGGATGTAATTTAGTTCGCAAAATCGATGTACATCGTACAACGTTATATTACACAACCGATGGATTGACCTGGTTGCAGCAGTTTGGGTGTAATATTCAACAACTTTTTTTTTTATGTGTATAGTTTGGTAGTTGAAATAAAACTGAACTGGTTTATTTAATCCGTGGGGTTTATATAGGGATTTCTAACAATACATGAGTATCTTTCAGTGCATATTTACTAGTGTTGGTTCAGTACCTCTTGATCGTTTAACGAATCGTTCAGTGGATTCAGAGACTGAGTCTTATTGGCACGCTAAATATAATTTATTCAAACACTACATAGGGGAGTCCCCTTCAGGGGCTTTCGGAGATGAACCAGCATATGGCTTAAAATCTCCTAAATAAAGAAAAAAAAAGTAGATTTATGGAATTCTTAAATCCACTTGCCTCAGTGTAATGGTTCCTATTATATGTTAGGTTCACTTTCAAAGAACCATAATACATCAGGTCAAAACTTTATCACACAAACGTTCATGTAAAGTTCCATAACAATTTCAGTTAATGTTTCAGGGATTATAAACAATGTTTAGCCATTTTCGGTAAGGTCACGTTATGGATCGCGTTTATGCGGGTTTATCGTCTGGCGAAAGCAACAGATCAACACAAGATTCTGACAGACAGATTTTAGCAAACGTTCAAACTTTTACTTATAAGGGCTTTACGGAGTGGGGGTGCGAAAATGGCATTTTTGTCGTGTGTGAACGGGCCTAAGCGGATATATTTTGTCTCAGAGCCGCTGCAAACAAACCGGCGTGCTTCACTTCATCTGATGCATGATGTATTTCAAAACAAAAATATGTCATTTTATTTTGCAAACCAAAACATCTTTACGTCTCGTGCGGAACGAATTCGTTTGTCTAACTGTAATAATTAGTTTTGTTAAGATGTTAAGCAACTATTTACTGAATCAACAGAAAATCATTCTTATTAAAGGTTAGTTTTGATATACAAATTGCGGATTTAATTCTTTATACGCTAAATTCTGCTCTTACGCGATTTTGATTGTTTTCAATTTTGCCCTCATGCAGGATACACGGCCAAATGAGATCAACCCAAATTTGAGTTCTGTAACATTTTTATTGCCACCTTATTTTGCTTCGAGTTTTTTATGATTTTTTGAAACAAGTTGCATTAAATTGGATTTGCAAATTGAGATCACACGATCAAAAATAAAGGCGAGAAAAAAAAACAGAATTGACAAACTAGCTTCTAACGTATATTTTATAAAACAATTATTTCCCTTGACCTGATAAAAGGTACAACCAACAGCGTATCGTAAACTAAATCAATAAAAAAATTACAGACCAGCTCGGAATCGAAACCACCGCTCAGAAGATAGTCACCATATGGTTGCACGATGGCAAAGGACCGGATGCCGTTCCGAAGCCGGTCGAATCCTTAAATGAACAGGAACAGTACCTTTTTGCTCGGATATCCAAACTGGCTCGCATCAAAAATCCACCGGAATTGTTCAAATTCGTACAACGTTGCAAACGGAACGATCTGGTCCAGTACCTATTCCTGTGGGCCACGGAAAAAAACATTTCCCAGAGCTTCCTGCTGCCGTACTTGGAACATCAAAGCGAACTGATTGTGACACTGGAAGACGAGCGACATCTTTCGATTTTGGTTAAAAAATCTGGCGGTTCGGTCAGCAACAAGCGCTACCAATACCAACTGCAGGAGGGCACCTTCTCGACGAAGGAGTTGAAGAAATCCGATCGGGCCATGGTGACTTCCGAGGTAGAGTCGCCCAGCATTGATCCTGCCTCGTTAGGAACGTTCAAAATCGGTGATCTGAACAAAGAGGAGCAGCAAGCGAAGAAAGCTCTTACGCTACCGTTTGAGTTGTTCGTCTCAATGGCATTATGTTTCGGTGTAACGGCGTTTAAATGGGGATTTTTTTTTTGCAGCTTCAAAGCCACTGCCGAAGGAGGACGGGTCCTTTACCATCCGGATGCGCAGGACGATCTGGACGAAGAAGACCCGGACGATGACTTGTTGATATGAATTGAATTGATTGAAACGATCCATTGGTTGTTATCGAAAATACATTATTGTACAGCTTTATTAACGAGGCGATTTATGGTTTACAGTAAATTATTGCTGACAAATGATATTCAGAAACAATTCCGCTTTTGACTTAACTGGAGTGATTTTAGAAAAATAAAGCGTAAATTCAGTGCCAACATTTCAAAGGGGCGTAATTGCATTTGTAAACAATGGCTTTAGCCGTCGATTTCTCACGAATAAAAGCTCACTCATGAAAAATAATGACACCAGCAGGTAGAGGAATGTCTTCTCTACCAGCTAGCATTGTTATTTTGGAGAGGTAAGATTTCATTCGCTAGAAATTGACGGCTAAAGTCATTGTTTACAAAAGCAATTACGCCCCTTTGAAATGGTGGCACTAAATTGTTCTTTTTGTAAAATGAGTACGGACTGAAATGCAACGGCTTCGATACTTTTCGATATAGGTAGGGGAAAGGGGTCTAATGTTGGCCTATGGATCTAAGATTGGGCCTATCGCTGAAAATCTGCTATTTATCACTCCGCGTCATTGAAACGGTACTAATGGATATTTTGGCCCGCTATTGAAAATTTATTCGGTTGCTGAATTTATATATGGGCCAAAATTATGGGCATTTGGGCCGACATTAGATCCATTTCCCCTATATAATGCATTTGTAATACTTCTTCTGCCTTTCCTTAAATTTAGATTTCGAGATTTTCATTCAAACGATATGATTATTTACAAGAATCGTTATAGTTTAAATTTTTGAATAAAAAATTTATATCTTTCTAGAGATATTTTTGTTAGTAAGAAAAAATGGAAATCGTTCTCTCTTTGTAATTCTTAGAAGTTTCTTTTTTTTTTGGTATAACATTTTATCACTCTGCGAGATCTTATCGACTAATAGCTCTATCTATAAAACATTTTCTTCTTTCCTTGCTTCCTTCCTTCCTTGAAACATGAGTAGATAGCTTCTTCGTTGATACTAAAATAACACTTTAACCGTATTTTAAAAACATTAAAATAATTAAACAAACCCGGTTATCTATGAAGTGGATTTAAAAATTGAGTTTAACTCTCTAGATAAGCTTGAGAACCAATTTTTACCACAATTGCAATGCAAACATAAAAGAAGGTCATTCAAAAAACGGATTAAAATTGTTAAGGAAGTTCTCAATATTGATGTACGTGATGGATTGTTTAGCTGCTTTCTTTGCTCGAGGCTGGCTTCGAAATCCTCAGGATTAGCAGGACTCCCTGCAGCGACATTTTTGGAATTGATCACATTGACTTAATTAGAAATGCTAAGAAAGTACCTAAGCTCCATGGATGATTGCAACTGAAGTATCAAATCGGTTCGAGCTCATCGTAAAAAAAAACAGATGGCACTAACACAATTTCTTTTTGTTCCTCATATTCTTCCTACACTGATAACACAAAACAGACAAAAATCATGCGTAACAGAAGAAACTTTCTACCGATAAAAACTAAATGCACACTTCTCACAGAAAACCCATTCCCACGGGATGCCTACCGGCCACTGCGTAGATGTCGCTCTTTGGATCAGGCGCGTAACTGCTCCAACTTGTGCCCCGGCATTCCGCCAATCCCTCAGGTCGAGCCTCTGGCATCCCCTGTGCCGTTCTCCCCACCCAACAAGTTTCCTTAATGTTAAAAAATTGCTGCACTAACCTATCTAGCTGCTCCCGTTCTTGCAGTTGTTGCTCTTTGGTTGTCTGATTTGCATCCGCAACATCTACCGCCCCGATGAGTGTACTTTTGATAACCAAGAAACGGGTGACCCCCAAGAGGACCTTCTTGTGCACCAACTTGGCAGTCCAAATACCCGGCAGCAGAGGCAGTTTCAGATTCGCTGCCTTGGTGAAATGAACCAAGTTCTCCGGTGGACCGGAAGGGGTGTCCTCGATGGTGATTTCGTTGGTATCGGCCAACTCTCCTCGGGGATCCAGCCACAGTACGGTCAACGGGTAACTTGTTGTGTTCTTTTCCACGCGTAATCCAGCCAAGCGGAAAATCAAGTTCAGCTCAGCGTTGTCATCGATGACACGTTGGAAATTGCGAGAGACCTGTTCCTTCTGATCGAAATCGGTACTGACCTCCAGTTGTGTTATCCGGCGGCCAAGTGCGGCTGATTTCGATACTTGAGCGGAAAAGGTGGGCTGCGCACGGGTTTCCAAAAGTGCACTCTCGCCTTCCAGCATAGCCTCGTATAGGATCAAGAACCCCCGGTAGTGATCATGGTCTAGATGGTGATTCAGCTCTCGTATCCGAAATGGTTCCTGGAACTGACTTAACTTCGCTTTGGCGTTGATTCGCACGATGCTGTGAGCTACATTTAGCAGAGCTCCATCAACGGACATAGCTTTGTCCTCATAGTGGAAGAAATTTTGCCAGTACGAATGCAGATTTGGGTAGTCTGCCGGGTACGGGCCATTTACCCATTCCTCCAGCTGCAGGATCACTTCCTGGTTGATGATGGGCTCGAACTTTCTGGCAAAATAGAACTGCTTGGCTTCAGTTCCCTGCAGTTTGGTCCAATCTTCCGGTTTGAAATCGTTCGGACTGCACCCACACCAATCCACAATCTGTTTGTACTGACACTTGCAGCCCAGCCTCCGCTTCCAGTTGGTAACGTGTAAATTATTGTCCACGTACGTATTGCAAAACTCGGAATTGCGCAGAACCGTGTGGAAAAACGACTCCGCTGGCAGTATTGTTTGTCTAAAAATAACCAACAATCCGGAAACGAGTGGATCCTCATTTCTGCCCTCCGTCACATATCGTGCAAAATCTCGCGACAAGCATATCCAGTCGCTGCCCCCGTCGATCTGAATCCCCGAGGGCAGTACTCGATCGCCTATGCGCCACATATGATTATCACACTCGACGAACGTCCGATCTAGGCCCTGCTTTTGAATGAACCGTTGCACTTCGCGACCGTGACTTCGCACAAAATTCTTCCCTCGATTTGCCCCCAGGAAACGAACTAACTTGTCCAAAGTTTTCACCGGGAAGTCACTCTCACTTAGATTGAGCACAAAGTCCCACTTCCAGTCAGGGGCTTCCTTCAGCAAGTACTCCATGCACCCCATAAGCATCTGCAGCAACGACGCACCGCCCCAGATTGTGGACCAACGATTGCGAGACACTCGAATGTTAGGGAAGTGTTGCTCCAGCTTGAGCAACTCTCGATAGAGGTATTCTTGGCGCTACAAAACAACGAAAGCAAAGTCAAATTTAGCTATTTTTTGGCAACATGAAAAGCAACTCACAGAATCGATATGTATAAAGTAATAGTGTCTAGGACTGTACAACGTTTTCAACAATCGGTTAACCTGCCTCAGGACTCGGCCGTTTAAAGTTAGCAAAAATACGATTCGCACAGGCTCTTGACCGGCTTTCATCGTTACCTCCGTCGTCTGTGGGCTGAATTCTGCAATGAAGTGTCGAATTTTGTTCAGCATTTTTAATCCTAAATGATAACAAGTAAAGCAGAATCTTACTTGCAATTCCGGTTTCGTAGACGTTTGCAGTGAAATATCCCCCGCAGGCCTGCTTCGGGTCTCCGGAACATTTCATATTGCAACTGGAATCTGGCAATTTAGCCGACGTCTTCGGTGGATCATCTCCGCAGAAACATTCGCTTCTGTAAATTTAAATTCTCAATCCATCACAAATCTCTCTACCCTCCCCCCAACCGAGTACTTACGAATATTGTACCCCAGCGTACAGAAACCCGGACTGCAAGCACAGCTGAATGCACCGCCTGGGCGTATTATTAGTCTTAAAATTCGTATAATACCCTGGCAGAATACGGAAGTTCTTCTCATCCTGAAAACAGCCCAACTCCCGATCGGGAACAAACTCCCCATTGGGACAAAAATTCGGCAACCTTCTCGGATAGAACGTCCCCTTCTGAATCTCGCAACCAATGTCCAGGATCTGTTTCTTGCACGCCTGACTCTTGGCCCTATGTACCGCCGATATAGTTTCCCTACTCCGGATATCACACGGCGGCACAAACTCCAACTCGTTCACATTCAGAAACGTCCTGCCCGAATCTTTTCGCACCTCCCGGCCATCCTTCTCGGGAACTTTCGCATGCTGCTGCTGCTGTTGCAGCTGATGTCCCTGCTCCAACTGATTACCTCCGGGTTCTTCATCATCCGCCGATAGGTTCGATCCGGCTACCTTTTTAACATACTTTTCGTACAATCGCTTGCTCAAGTCCCGTTCCTCGTTGCTCTCGGTGCCGGAAACGGGAATCTTCAACAATTTATAAGCGAGAAATATTTGCGCTCCCACAATCAACAGCCCAATCAGGAAGAACACTTTGTACCGACGGAACCATCGCAGGGCCAACGTTTGCAGCATTTCCGGTCACACTAGCAGGATCATCTGGAAGAACGATCGTCGTCGACACGTTGCGCTATCAGGTCATTGGAGCTGACGAAGGGAATACGTGTGGCGTGCAGGATTTCTGCTGACAGTGCTCTTCGTGGAAAGAAATTCGATTCCCAACTTTAGCCACACTCGTTTCGTCCACTGTTTGATTCGTTACGTTAGATTTGGGTGCGAAACGTTAAATCAGAGCTGTAAACGCAGCAAAATAACAAACAAAATACGCGCACTGAGAAATTCTTGAAAATTTTATTAAATAAGCAGACAGGATACAAAGAGGACGTGCAAAGATTCCACAAAATTTTAATTTTCTTTTTGCTGTTTTGTTTTGATTGCTTGTTTTGTCTGACGTTTCACGCGAGATAATTTATCAGTGTTGCCAGCATTACATTGGTCCTAAAATAGGGTGACGGATATTTTGGTCGTTTTATAGCGGCACAGTAAAGGCCCACGCACATTAGATCCGGATCGGACGCGTTGCCGCAAAGTGACAGCTAAATCTATTGTCTAACTGTGAAATTTACGTCAACACAACGCAAACGGATCTAATGTGAGTGGCTTTTAAAAATTTAGAGCACGCAGCTCACGAGCAGCCAGCGGCCGCTTTCTCTAATAAGGTTTTGCCACCGACAAACCGATACACACAAAAAACTATCGTTAGTAAAATTGAAAAATCCATTGGTAGAATTAAAAGTTATCGTTGGTTCTTTTTGGTAGAAAGTCTTTAGCTTTCAAAACAAAAATCAGCTAACTGTCAATTCAAAAGTAACTCGTTTTTTACTTTTAAAAGTTGAAACTTTCAAATCGAATTGTAGAACTGTCAACTTGACTGTCAATATAAAAACCTATTTTGTTAAATAGACTCATGAAAGGATTTACTTTAAAAGATGGGCAGTTTTATCGCAATGATTTATGCAGGTAAGCTTATTTCTAAAAAAAAATCAAGACGGATGGACGGACGGGTTTTGTTCTGCTGGTGTCCTGGCTGGTGTAAAATAATTGAGTCTCAGTAGCTATTTGCCAGTAAGAGCAAAGAGTAACATATTCGTCGTAGATGCAAAGCTACTGTTTATAAACATAACAATCGAATGCTTGATCGAATCTGAGTACTGCAAACTCAGCCGATTTTATTCTTCAAGTGAGCTAGAAAACATCTTGAAAATCTTCCGAAGTTTCAAATTGTTTTGCTGAAACAGCTCACGAAATTGTATATACATGCTGTCAAATGAATTCTTGGCTCCTCCTCCTGTGCTCCAGAAATAACGTATACATGGTGATGGGAGTGCAACTGCCCACAAAGCTCACATGACTCTTAAAAGTTTGATTACATTCTTGTTTCAGCAACCCAGTTTTGGCATTATTAATATCAAATAAAACCACTTTTTCGAGCATCACGCTCGATGATTTACATTATCCGGCTACTAAGGTTGATGTTTTGACAGTTTCATAATTATAATTCTTAATTTGTTTTCAGTAGGTGGCAACACCTTTACTTGTAGTTCAAACAGTAACTACCTACGTGACTTCTGAGCTCTTTTGAATGTTTGGCTCCCGTTTGACAGTTTGACTCGGCTCCCAGATGCCAAGCATTTTGAGTTAGTTCGCAGTACTCAGGATCGAATGTAAACAGTCATGGAAGTGGTGCCAGAAGTAATAGAAAATTCTGGTGGAAGTGTGTTTCACGCAGAAAAAAGTATCATCGAAATAAAAATATTTGAGGTAAAAATAAACGTAAACCAGGGGGTAAGTCACTCTACCACCTTGTGTTAACACCCACAAAAACACACTCCGACACACTCCAAACACCTTGCCACCCAGGCAGTCTCCACATAACAGATAGTTTTTCATCAATCCTGGCACCACTTCCAAGAATGTTTACATCCAGGATTCAAACGTACTTTATGTTCAAAGTCATGTGATATCAATGTTTAAAATAAAAATCATTATACGTTTATTTTAAAAATATTCGAGTTGAAAATAAACGTGAATATTTTTGTTTGATTTGACAGCTTTGTAAACAAAAATAAATATTTTTATTTTAAACATGATTTTAGAGTTTACCTTAAACGTATTTAATGTTAAGAAAAAATATATATTTATTTATTATTATCCTGATTATTATAAATCATCAATGCGCGATAAAATAAAACGTTCGTTTCCGATCAACCTGACACACTCAAGCTGGGAAGACAGTTGTAAACCAAATTCGATTCTTCCACAATGCAACGTTTTCGAGACATGGCATCAATGCTGGTACCCGGCGTTTGATGACTGTATAATGTCTCCACGTAGAACATCTCATCCAGGAGCCAGTCCTATCTTTCGTACAGGAATATAACTGATAGGAATTCTTCCAATCAGAGTATCACCAGCTCCATTGTCGCCGAGATTGTCGCTTCGTCCAGCTCTTGATCTAATCCCGTCACTACCAAAAACTTCTGCGCCTTTATTGTCTCCGCCAACCATTTCCGCCTGGCCAGCCCTAATAAACAAATACCATAAACGAACGATAACCCAAACAGTCGAACTTTTCCACAAATGGTTTGGATGATACCCCGAAAACGTCGTTAAGCAAAATAACCATACCATTTTTATTAGGGAGGTCCCACTGGAGAATGATTCCATTCTTATTCGTCACGTACAGAAACCGATCATCGTCAGTCAAACACAGACATGGTGACAAAAGCCGTCAAATACAATGGATTTTGATATTGTTGAAATAAGCATGCCTTTGAATTTAATTTAAACATAAATATTTTCGTTTTAAACATGTTTTCAATTTACTTTGAATAATTAATATGTTTAGAGTATAAACATTTATATTTTTGATATAAATGAACAAAATTCGTATCCGTGTTGGAGTGTGTCGAACTGTGTTTTTGGAGTGTTATACCCCTGGTTATACCCCGTTCACATTACAGTCTATATCACGTAATATAGGCTGTCTTGCAATGAGCATTCATACAAAGGATTTCCAGTGAAAACTAGATGTATGAGTGCTCATTGCAAGACACCGTATATCACGTGATATACGCTGTAATGTGAACGGGGTATTAAACACAAGGTGGCAGAGTGAGTTACCCCTTGGTGGTAGAAACCCCTTGAAAATTTTCATTATATTAGGCATGCACCTTTCCGAAATTGGTATTGGTTTGCGTGTAAAGGGCCTTAGAAAGTTTGTTTGCAAATGCTTTTGTGCCGCTATCAAATGTTATGCCTGATATTATAGCTTCGTTGTGGATCCCACTGTCACCCACCGCAGAATTCACGCGTGGGTGCAACTCACATTTGAAATGGAACGAAACGAAACGGAACGAACTGAACCGAACTTGACAACAACAAAAATTCGCGAAAAGTTGATAGTCGTAACAATTTCTTACGTGTGAGTACTCAAATTCGCAATTTTTATCAATGTTTTGCTAACAAATTTGCTCTGTGGTAATTTCTTTGGTTGACCAACATTCAGCGAAAGTGAAACATTGGATTTCTTGTGTTCCTGCTTGGTAATCGTGAAAATAATTCATGTTTGTCAAAGTGCCAAAATTATATAATAAATTTAAAACTACGTCACTTACCCTAATCGCTGCCAATATTCTATTTGTCAGTCTATAGTGCTTCCTTATCTAATGAAGTCGGCAAACCGCCAAGCGAAAGTAAATTACACGAACTGACCTCTTCATTTCGTTTTACATAGGTAATCGTACTGTGAGTGCAGAAAAATGAGTCTTCTGAAGCTAACCGGATCCTCCTTGGCAAAGTCCGTTGCACCAATGGTCAGCGTGACGCGATCATCGTCCCACTTTGTATACACTCCGGACGCGAAAGCCCCGGTCGAGGGACCAACCCAAAAGATGAACATGTTCCAGGCGATTAACAATGCGATGGATATTGCCATGGAGCGGGACAGCTCGGCACTGGTTTTCGGAGAAGATGTAGCATTTGGAGGAGTTTTCCGTTGCTCGATGGGCCTGCAGAAGAAATACGGAAAGGATCGTGTATTTAATACACCACTTTGTGAGCAAGGCATTGCTGGATTTGCAATTGGGGTGTCGAACACCGGGGCTACTGCCATTGCAGAGATGCAATTTGCGGATTACATCTTTCCTGCATTTGATCAGATAGTGAACGAAGCAGCCAAGTATCGTTACAGGAGTGGAAATTTGTTTGACTGTGGATCCTTAACGTTCCGAGCTCCTAGCGGAGCAGTCGGTCATGGTGCTTGCTATCACTCGCAGAGTCCCGAGGCGTACTTCGCGCACACACCTGGCCTGAAGGTGGTCGTGCCTCGGGGGCCAAACAAGGCCAAAGGATTGCTGCTGGCTTGTATCAAGGAGAAAGATCCGTGCATCGTTTTCGAACCAAAGACGCTTTACCGGGCAGCGGTAGAGGAAGTTCCGGTAGAAGCGTTTGAATCTCCCATCGGCATGGCCGATATATTGAGAGTAGGAAACGATATGACCCTAATCGGCTGGGGGACGCAGATTCACGTGCTGAAGGAGGTGGCTGATATGGCGAAGCAACAATACGGAGTCAATTGCGAGGTTATTGATCTTGTGTCGATTCTGCCATGGGACAAGGAAACCGTGTGTAATGTAAGTATTAAGTATATATGTTTTCGGGGTTTAATTTATTTCTTGTGTGCGTGTTTTGGTATGACAATTCCGGAACATATAGAGAATGTGTTCACCAAATCGACTACGGTTTTGCTCTTCTTCTGGATATCAAAGCTAAGTCTTCCCAATTCGAAGCCAACGCTGACTTTCCACTTTGCCTCACAGGCATCGTATATAATCTGCTGCATCGGGGTGGGAGGATCATCTTTCAGTATATCGTGACACTGTTGGTATTGATTGGCTAAACGGGATCCAGTTGCCACGATATCCTGCACCAGATTTACCACACCTTGGAAGTTGAAATGCTCCAGTGAATTTTGAAGATCCTGAAGCGAAATTTTGCTCTAAATTTAAGGCAACTTTTGAATCAAACGAACTTACCATTAAACAGTCCAGAACGGGATGTTTTTCGGAGAAAACTAGTGTAGTAGCCCCATTAGCTACTAGAATGAATATAAGAAACAGCTTCTCCATGATTACTAGTTGCTGCTAAGTACCCAGACGTGGTAATTTATAGTCGATTCCGCCACTTTCTAGCAATATCAGGTGACATATCAGCAAGGCCCTACCAGCACTTCAGCGCGAAATGCCTTATCATGTTACTCTCTTCGAGTGGTTATACAAGAAATTTGACCTCCCTGCTCCGACACGGAACTACATCTAAAACTATGTTCAATTTCAGTCCGCCAAGAAAACCGGCCGCGTTCTGATAGCCCACGAAGCACCGCTGACCAGTGGCTTTGGGGCGGAACTGGCCGCCACCATCCAGGAGGAATGCTTCCTCCATCTGGAAGCACCAATTGCGCGCATTACTGGCTGGGATACCCCCTTCCCGCATGTTTTTGAACCGTTCTACATCCCGGACAAGTTCCGGTGCCTGGCCGGGATCAAGAAGCTGATCGACTACTAATATAGAGAATCGGTGCAAAGTTACACAGCATTTGTCTTCCACCAGTGATTACACTATAAATCGATAGTGACGCTCAATCTGAACGGATCGAAACATGATGCATTTATTAGCTTTAAGACAGAGTGGATGATCTTTTTACAACGAATTTTTTGTACTACACACTTTTGTTACCACCTCAGGTTGAAAATAAAATGTGCCTTATTTCGTAATTTATGTGTATATAAAGTCAGTTATTTTAATTTTATCCGAAATTCAGGTCCTTAAAAATAGTCTCAGATTATATTCACCCCTATTCTGTATTTCGTTCGAAACGAAATTCTCATACAAAAAAATATTTTTTTGTACAGGAATTTTGTTTCGAACGAAATACAGAATAGGGGTGTATATCTCAAACCACAAAATAACCAGAATGTACATAGTGTATATCTGTAAAAACAGATAGCAGATACTAAAAAGATCTGAGTTGAATATAACCTATCTCAAAAAGTGGATTTTCAGTTTAGAGATGATCGAATTTTTCCATTACCTATTCGATATTTTGGACGTAAAACTACGTCTTTATAGACTAATACTGGGGTGCAAATAAAAAAAAGTGTGACGAAATAGTGCTAGGTTTTGAACACTTGTAACTTTGTCATTTATAGATTAAGTTAAAATCCAAATACGCTAATCGATAGGAAATAACTCTATGAATCTGCTAAAATAATTCCTTCTCCAATTTTGTTAAACAATAAACTAAAAACTAAACACATGGTACTGTTTTCATAAATTAAACATTTTCCTTAAACCCAGTCTTCATAATCGAAACCTGAAAAGTAAAACAGCGCTGCTGTCGTGCCTCTGCTCATTTTCGCTTCGGACGGCGTGGCAACCACTCTGCCGTCGTGCAGAAACATTTTCCTTGCAGCGGACGGCGTGATCACCTTGACAACCAGCGATGGTTTTGCATTAAGCTATACCACCCCTACCCGATATCATCCGATCCGACTGACGGTTTTTCATATTTATCTCTCATTTGTGGAGTGTCGACCGGATGATATCGGGCAGGTGTGGGATGAGCTTTAAGTTAAGAACCATGTCATACCGAAGCTCATTTTCGCAACGGACAACGTAGTACGCAGAGAAATATATTTTAATTTCAACAATATTCTGTATTGAATTCAATAAAAAAAATCGTTGTCTCCCGGCTAACAATAAATATTGTTAACACAATCATTTTTTTTATTGAATTCAAAGAAATTTATTTTTTATTTTTAAATCATTGATCAAAAATTATTTTCTTTGGAATGGCGAAACAATTTTTGAAACAACAATATTTGTTTGTTGAATCAAGAATTTGTATTCTTTGAATCAACAATATTAATTTTTGGCTCAATAATATTTCTTTTTTATTTCTGACGTTTTATGCTTTTTTATGCTTTTCAATGTATTTTATGTCATTCAAGTATTTAATACATTAATCTTATTATTATACCTAAAATAAAGCAAGCAGTTCGGTCTGCGGCTTTCTGCGATACTAGCGAGGTAGCGGCAGTTGGCTGCAACGGTGCAAGTTATTCCGTTAGAATAGGAAGGCCCTAAAAACGAAAAAAACAACATTAAAAAAAATATGATGCACAATATGCCAACATTTCTTAACAATAACAATATCCATTAAATTGAATTACCTGAGCTTTTCTCCATATTCAATCCGCAGATACATTTGATCCGCTCCACCAAAAATGGGACTGGAGTCAGCTCTTCCACTTCACAACGCTCCATAATCAGCATCACTGTAAAGAAATTAATTATTAAAGCAATTTTCACCAATTAAAAAAAACTACTCACCGATAAAACAGCTGACCGTGGCGGACAGTACAAATCTGTTGAGAACCTCCACAATTTCAAGCGGAAATTTTTTCCACCACTTTTATTTTCGGTTACTGTCACAGAATGGCGGTCAATTTGCTGATTGCGTTTGATTACATTGACAAAATGCATCAACAATTTTTGTTGTTGAATAAACAATATTTTTTAAATTCAAAAATATGTTGCTTTGAATTTAAAATAAAATATTGTTGATTCAACCATAACCAATTTTTAAAACAAAAATATCGAATAGTTCAGTTCAAAAAAGTTTTTTTTTGTTTCAACTACATGAAATTTCTCTGCGTGTAGATATCGAACAATCGGTCCTTCTCCAGGACCACACATTTTTACAGAAAGAGTTATATCACAAACGAAGTGACAGACGGAGCGGCTCGAAATTTGATTTGACGCACTTACATTTTCAATTTTCGAGTGTACCTCACGGCAACACTATCTACTCATATGTACTAGATTAAACTAGGGGGTACCGCCTGTTATCTCTTTTTCTCTAACAAAAATTGAAAGGGAGGGCCTGTTGTCAAACAGCATGTCATTATATCGCTTCTTTTGTATAATGAAAGACCATAGGCCAAAATGATTAGGGATGAACACATCGGGTTAACATTTGCTTACAAGTAAACGATGTTGAGCTGTCAATGATGATGTCAAGCAGATTTCTTCAGTCCGTGCTAGAAGCCTAAGTCACAGTCATTCGCGACCGAGAAGACAGACATCGTTGTTGGACGCCAAACAGAACCCGGCCATACTCGGTATGCTGGTATACATTCACTCCTCCGTAGCGGAACTGGAAGGATCCACCCAAGCTGCCGGATATCAGTTTTGTTTGCTCCAGCTTCTTCTTATTATTCTGCAGAACCAGACAGTGCGAGTACTGGTCGTGTTTGCCAAACCAACCGGTGGAATACTAATCTGAAAGCCGATTTCTTAGGCACGTTGCATTTGTCGCAGTAGATATTCACTTGCTGCTGCACTTTCATGGAGCGGATTACAATCGCCGTGGCAGTAGTTCGTACAGATCGATCACTGGATCGATATCAACCCGATAGGTATGGCCGGCATGCTTCGCGTAGTGACGCTCGCTCATGTCACGGGGAATCCTTTCCGAACAGGCGGCGCATTGAAACTTCTGTACGAATCGATCGGGACATAGGATTTGATGTCACGCTTTTGTCTCTTGCTGCCTCGACTGCTCAGCCTCTACTTATTCATCATTCAAAACATTTTCCGGTACGGGTGCGGGTAGTGGATGTCCCTGTCGAATTGGTTGATTAGACGAGATCATCGTCATCGACAAGTACCAGTTATCAAACTTTCCAGCTATCATGCAGATGAAGTTTTCAACTGAGTAATCTCTTCCACCTATGCAGCACAAGCTCGGTTAACAAGCTGCGGCAAGTTTTTACGTCGATGCAAATGGGAAATTGGAATTCAATCTGAAATTGAAAACCAACCCTAATAAAATTGTTATGGTTATTTTGCTTAACGACGTGTTCGGGGTATCATCCAAACCATTTGTTGAATAGTTTTATTATTTTGGTTTTCGTTCATGTATGGTAGTTTTTTATTAGGGAAACAGTAAAAAAAAAGTTGTTGAATATTACAGCAGATAAGCTGCACATAACATATACACATTAATCCAGTCAGTAATGTTTTACTGGGTTTTTGAATTGCCTACTGTTCGAAAAAAGTTTAAAACTCTGCAGGAAATTCAAAAATATGAAACTTTTTCTGAACTTGTACAGATAAAGTTCTGTTAATCTCATTTCTTTTTTTTTTCCTTTGATTTGTTTTTCGTCGATCTGGTTTTCCGTACTGAGCACCAATGCTACCGATGCCAGCACTGATAAAAATCCCCTTATACATTTTGGCAAATTTCCATTGCTGATTATTCATAAAATGTATAAGGCTACCACCAACCAATTTGTTCCGAACGGCCGGAAGACCAAGCTGAGGCATGGGATGCTCACTATGCCCCACTTGTTCACTATGCCCCTCTTACCCTTACCATAAAATCACAACGAAAATCATGGTATATGAGAAATGTACAATAAAATAGGGGGCTTGTTAAGCTAAGCATCTTAAAAATAAAAAAAATGATTTTTGTCGAACAAATTTGATCTCATCAAATTAATTTTCATTGATAATTGTATCGTTAAAAACGAAATTCATTATTCCTCCTTTCCAATAATTTAATAATAAATTTTTAATGTGCCCAAAATTCAACCGTAAAATTCATTGTAATTTCGTTATTTTATTATATTTTTTTTTGCGTCCATCCTCGGTATGCATTCGTTACTCCGTAGCGGAACCGGAAGCTCTCGACGAGGGCGATCTAAAGGAGGAAAATTTACTCCAAAATCGTGCCGAGATCCATCGAATCAAAGAGGCGATCGACGTGCTGGAGGTGAGAATGAAGGAGGATCGGATGAAACTGATTTTTTTTTTAATTTATTACGGCTAGAGATGCTGTATGTCAAGCGTTTGAGCATGATTGCGGTACGATGCACTATTCTGGACTGGTCTACTATACGTGGCAAAACTAGTCATTATACCTGCTACGTGTACCTTGTTACTTGAAGACGAGGAGGGAATCTTCGGATTCATGGAGGAGGACATCGGACATCAGAAATGAGGAAGCTCGTATGCGAGGACAAAAGTGTTACATCTGCAAGGGTTGATGCATATATTATGTCACGCTCTAGGGGGGGGGGGGGGTTCTAAGATTTTGTGACAAGTAATGCATTAGGTATAGGAAAAACGTCACGATAGGGGGGGGGGGGGGGGTTAAATTTCTCTTCGATTTAGCGTGACAAAATTAATGCATGGGCCCCAAGGAACGGTATGCGAACGTTTTGTGTTGCACGAAGAAGTGCTTCCGTTCATTTCAGACGCTTTGTGGGATGCAGAATGAGTGCCTGTCGCATTACGTGGATACGTTCCAGTCGTGGTGCGATAAGCACGTAGCGCTGGTGGGTAAGGTGAAATAATCCGGGACCGAAGCCTGTGGGATTTGCTACGATGAGATGGGACCGTACAGGAAGCTGGAATCGATTCGTGCTGTCAGAATGTCTGGTTCCATCGGAGCTGCATGGCACAGTTTGCCCAATCGGCGGGGTACTTTTTCAAGTGCCCTTTGTGCAACAACAAGGACGACTTTAGTCAGCAGATGCAGCAGCGTGGCATTTATATTCCACTGCCACGAAGAACTTCCGTCGAAAACTTCGAGGAACTTCCGTCGAAAAATTGCTTCGAGCCAAACCGGTCGTATCAAATCGTTGACTTCTTCGGACAATGAAGACGAAGCATCCTCCGCCGGATCGTCGACCGTGTTCGATTTCAACTATCGTGTGAATTTAACCAAAAAAGCAGTGCCGAAAATCGATGGTAGAATTGCAGTCGATCAGAGTTCATCCGTTCCGACACGGACACGCTAACGGATGCCTCGGTGGGACAGGAGATCGTGCGTCCCAAGACGCCTGCCAGAAATCTTTTGAAAATCTGTTCAAATTGTAGCTTTTCGGGTCGAAAACCGTCCCACGAAAACGGTCCACCAGCGAGTCTGATCCGGAGTACGTTACAGCGAAGAAAATTAGGTTGATTTAATTTTAATGGTGACCTTCCTTAGACGGTGAATTTTCCAGTACTAGTCAGGTCTTTCCCACGGCGCAGTGGATTACTGCCAACGGTGCCACCTCAAGTGGGAATGCGATTCGAAACCGAGTTGACGTTGATGCTCAAAAGTGAGAAAATGTTCCGGATTTCACTACCCACACAGATTAGTGGGAAAACAAACCGTCCGTTCATCCATGTGTGCTAGATAGAGAAAGATGATGAAACGTCAAAAAGGGCTATGCACCTGAAACCGACGGAGAATCGCAAGTGCTGTGGTGAGGCAGAAGGAAACAAGTTAGCACTTTCATTATCACGACGTTCTTATGCATAATCTAGTGTGACGTAACGTTGGATCATACGTAAGAACACCGTGAGAACGAAAGAGTTGTCAACATTCCTTCTGCCCCACCTACAGTAACGCACACGGTTCCCGCACGGATTGTTCCTTACTTTCTCACTCTAATCAAAATTTCCTTCGATGAGTGAGAAAACAGCACCACGTCAACGCGAGCGAGAACGAGGGTTGCCAGATCATTGCACACAAAACCAACTTGAATTAATTCAAAGCAAAAATACTAGCGAACCTGGCGGTGAAGGGCGCAAGGTGGACTAAAATTCTATTACAGAGAACCACATTATTTTAATTAATTTCTTCGGAGAAAGTCGTCTGTCACTTCGTTTGTGGTAGTACGCTGAACAGATGGCGGTAGTGTGTAAACGTCAAACGCAAAGGAATTGACTATGCGCGCTGCAGGTGGCGGTACTACCAACTACGATACTTTTGAATTGACCGTTAAATGCTTGTTCGATGAACAACTTGCGAGTGTTATGTCTGTTTGTCTGTGATAATACTGTATTGAATAATCTTTGTTTGTTATTGTTTCATATGATAATTGGTTCCAGAAAAGAATGTATTGAGATTGAAAAAAAAAATGATTTTACTTTGCTATGATTCTAATTGTAAGCCTTCTACACGGCTAATTCAGATTCCAGCCCTAAGTAGTATTCGAACTTCATGAGCCAGTTCTATCAAATCATATAATTTAGTCGTTGATTTATTGCACACAGGTGCATTAAGAAAGATTTGAACAAACCACACCACCGAAACGGAACATAAATTTGTCAGTGCTATTTGTCTTAACTCTAGCAAAACGAGCATAAAGTTGCACTACATTCCATGTCGGGAGAGCTGTTCTTACTTCATGCTATTTGAACGAGCTCAATCTTGAAGTCAGCCGTGGCCCAGTGGAATCGAGCACAGACACCGAAAGCATCACACCTCAACAGATCTTGATCGAATCCCAAATCAGCTACAATAAAAAAAAGGCACAACTGTGAAAGCTCCCACTGCCTGATGTTTATTTTTCGAATTTATTTTTAGAAATCGATTAAATATATGTGTCAAAAGAAGAAGTAAATTTCATGTTATCCACTTAATTAATTTTGGTATCCATGACATTGTAGTCGAAATACGTATCTGTCATGGATACCAAAATTAATTAAGTGGAATTAAATGGAAGATAAACCCTTTTGCTGTTTTATTTAGCATTCCGCTAACAACCCAATTTCATTACTTCATTATGATGGCTACCAAGCCTTTGGGGATTTTCCTTATTAGAGATTTGTATAGATTTTTCTCCTTTAGCTTACTTAAATCTTTGGTTTTTATTAGTTAGGTAGGTTCCGATTCAACACATTGTAGTTTCATTTTTATACCTATGATCTTGACTTTTTTACCTAGGGGATGAGTACTTAAGGGGGTTAGATTTTGATAAATTCTTTAGTGGGAATGACACTGATGAAGACTGCACATTGTAGTCGAAATACGTATCTGTCATGGATACCAAAATTAATTAAGTGGAATTAAATGGAAGATAAACCCTTTTGCTGTTTTATTTAGCATTCCGCTAACAACCCAATTTCATTACTTCATTATGATGGCTACCAAGCCTTTGGGGATTTTCCTTATTAGAGATTTGTATAGATTTTTCTCCTTTAGCTTACTTAAATCTTTGGTTTTTATTAGTTAGGTAGGTTCCGATTCAACACATTGTAGTTTCATTTTTATACCTATGATCTTGACTTTTTTACCTAGGGGATGAGTACTTAAGGGGGTTAGATTTTGATAAATTCTTTAGTGGGAATGACACTGATGAAGACTGCACATTGTAGTCGAAATACGTATCTGTCATGGATACCAAAATTAATTAAGTGGAATTAAATGGAAGATAAACCCTTTTGCTGTTTTATTTAGCATTCCGCTAACAACCCAATTTCATTACTTCAATTGAAATGGCCTTAACTCTATTTTGTAAACAAACCTTGTAAGGCCATTTTCTCGCGAACCGAAGTCCACAAAGGCAAACCAACATAATTAAGGGTTGATGCATATATAATGTCGCCCTCTAAGGGGGGAGGGGGGTCTAAGATTTTGTGACAAGCAATGCATTAGGTATAGGAAAAGCGTCACGATAGGGGGGAGGGAGTAACTTTCTGCTCGATTTAGCGTGACATAATTAATGCATGGGCCCTAACAGGTAGGGGAAATTTTCCTCTACCCGATTGTGACTTAGGTTTGCGAATGAAGGTTTCGGTTCGCGAGAAAATGGCCTTACAAGCTTACAAAATGGAGTAAAGGCCATTTCAATTGTTGGTCTTGAACTGGCTGTCTGTAAACAAATCATAGCACCTGCGATCCTCTATGCTCCTCCGGTGTGGGAATCATGTGCACAGACTCATGGGAACAAAATCCAGGTCGCTCAGAATACAGTGTTGAGGATGTTCCTTGATCGTCCCCTCGTTACAAGAATTTCCGATCTCCACTTAGAGGTGATCGTTTCAAAACTAGATTTTAAAATTGATGACATTAAGACTACTAAGCTTTGTTCAGACATTGCTTTGATAAGCAATTTGTAAATATCCTTTAAATTTGTCGAACCTCTTAACGGAATCCCTTTATGAAGAGCGTTGAGTGGGTTCGTTTATTTCCTTTAAATTCCGTTATAATTGCTTATCTTTGACAGATATGCGTATTTCATCTACTACTTGCAGACTTCATCACTGCCAAGTACTCAACACCACTGAAGAATCCATCTTTTATCTACGAGTTATATACTAATCAATAGGTACTAAAAATCAACAGGTATCCACTGCCATGTCAATTTAGCCTGGTTAGGTAAATTTTGACATGGCAGTGGATACCTGCTGATTTTTAGTACCTATTGATTAGTATATGGAAACTAATAATGAATAAGGAACTGATTTACCAATTTAAAAACTTGAATCTTAATTTTAGAATTTATTTAACAACCGCATAATTTCAAAAAAAAAATGTTATTTTTTTTTCATTTGGAATTACATTTCTAAACCATTTATTTTGTTATTATTTAATAATATACTTATATTATTGAATGGAGCAGCTCGTAGTTCTACGTCAACAATGCGGATGTGCTTTGGACACAACCCTTAACTTTTTGCTGTGAAGCTCAACAAATCTGCTTACTTAATTGGGTTCTTTAATTTTGAAAAATATATCGGTTTTTATATATCATCTGAAAGAGCTTCGTTTTCTGAGCACAGCGATATTTTTTTCGAACCCACACACTTTCATCTTGATTTTTAAATCAAGATTTAAAGCAAAATAATAACTTCACTGTTTGACACTAAACTGACCAACTGACAGCTTGCTCCCATATAAAGTGACACCGAGGGGCGCTAATAAGGTGATTTTTGCAAATTTAATTGTACATATTTAAAATAGTTCCAGTGTACCAAAATTGATGAAATTTTGGGTTTGGGTTCCATTTTTAACGCAGATTACGAATATGCATTTACCTCAATACCCTTAAAGAGCCCAATTAACCACTTTATTCGAGCACTTAAAATGACGTTTACTACCACTCGAACTTTAACCGCGCCGGTGGTGTAGTGGTAAGCGTGATTACCTCTCACCCCAGCAGGCCTGGGTTCAATCCCTGTCGGCGCCGCCGGGATGTTCTGAGGCATAACATCTCTGATCACGCCTTCCTTCGGATGGGAAGTAAAGCCGTTGGTCCCCGGTTCATGAGTTGATGGGTCGATAGGTAGGGTCCAGGTGTGGGAGCTGCCTCCCTGGCACGTCGGTAGCATTGGTGCTCAGCACGGAAAACAAGATCGACGGAAAAAAAACAAACCAAAGGAAAAAAAACCACTCGAACTTTGAAATAAAACATTATTTTGAGATTTTTTCTTCTAGAACCTCGAGAAAAGTAGTCAAAATTTGTGTGTTTCGTAAAAAAATAGAAATTATTTGGTCCAGTTTTGTGAAATCGCTGGTAGAAAGTCACGCCAAAACTGCTTGACAAAGTGGTCAATTCTTCGAAAATCTCTGACCGATGCGATCATCCCATTAAAACTGCTAGACGGAGCTGAAATTTGAGTTAAATTCATCGGCCGTGCACGACAGCAATCGGAATCATGTCATCATCCTCACTTGAAATTCTTTCACTTTCCCGAATTTTTTCATCCCAAGCATACGCAAGCACCCCTGCGAGGTGACAATTCGGCACAATATTGGAAAGAGCGCACCGCACACAACCATCGCGCCCTCTCGCTCACGCTTGCTTCCACGATGGCAAAAAGAGCCGTGCGGTTTTCTGCCTTCTTCGCGGTGACGGTCGGCTCATTCACTACTTGGGAGTCGGTACGTTCGGTTGTGTTTTAGTGCATTTTTTTTCTCTGCTTCTCTGCTCCGCCGAGGTGGCACTTTTTCCAATCAAGAGTGTGGTGTGCTTTTCTGGAAAGTGATTGAAAATCCCGATTTTTCTCCGTTGCCGGTGGCTGGTTCCAGCGGAAGTACGATCCATGTCGCGGCGCGCTTTCGTTGGTGTGCATTTCGGGTGCGTCAGTTCCGGATTCGTGTCGGGAAAGTGATTCTTTGTCACCGGGAAAGTGGGATAAATCCGGAAAACCATATTGCAGTGATAAATGGTCGTCAAGACGAGAACATGGTTCGGTGTGGTAGTGAGGTGGCGGTTCTCGTCGCCGTCGTCGTCGTCGTCGATCCCGTTTGCCAGGCAGGCAGACACGGACGGACTTGAACATGGATGGCACGGCTGGCGAAGGAATGAGTGGAAGAAGTAGAATAAGAAGACAGTGCTCTCTTGCTTGCTCATTCGATGGTCGTCGTCAGCATCAGAGCGGTTCTTTTCGTTCGATGTTGGTCATTTTTGCTGGTGGAACCAGTGGAAGTGCTGCCAGATAGTTAGGAATGTGAATTGCTTTGTTATGTTGTTTATTTTGAAAAAAAAAAAACGACTGCTTTGATTTTATGCCGATTTTGACGCAAATCGAGGAAGATATTACTCACTAATCCAACTTTTTTTCTTGGGAATTTTGAGTCGAATTAGGTATTTTAATTTTGAAAACTATCAACCCTAATGTATTCCGTTCGAAACATTTAAAAAACGGTGAATCCGTTTCGAACGCAGTAGAGACTAGGGAACGGTGTCTGCAAGAACAATTTATAAAAAAAAATCAGTATCGTATTTAAGTCGATTTGTTTGTAACAAATGCATCTATACATCCACTTACTTAGATTGGGCCTCTCAGACCAAGCTCAAGATTTGAAGCAAAATAATTACTTCGCTTTTTGACTGGAATCTACAAATTGGGAGTTTAATTTCGAAAAACCGGTTTTTATACATCATCTCGAAGAGCTACAGTATCTGAGCACAGCGATATTTTTTAACGATCGCATATTCATCTCGTTTTTTAAATCAAGATAATTTTTGACACTAAAGGTCCAGGCGGCAGCGGAAAAGCCCGATTTCAACTTGTCGAATTGAAAAAAATGAACCAAATCTCGCGTAACATTTTAAAAGGGCATATGTCCAAAATGTAAACAAACCAGAAAGTTACTCTTAAATTGAAATATTTTAGGCATTTATATTGTTCACAATAATAATAGTAACTTTATCTCAGTATACAACATCCAAAATATGCGATAAGTTTTCAAAAATATACGCAAATCGATAAAAATTTAATTTCCTAAATTAATAAGCCTTTTTGTGAATCTTTCAATGGACAGGCCTTTTTTGTTAAGCCGTTGTGCCTATATGAATCGAAACATTTCTTTGTTACCAAGCGGTGTTATAGAATGGTATCAAAACCCAATTTGTTTACGTTTTGAACATAGGCCCATTTTAAATTTTACTATGGCTAGATGGTTAGCTATGGCAAAAAAACATGTTGATATAAGTTTTATCAATATTTTCGGAAAATCATCAATACAGGGTTGCTCATCACTACAAATTTTATGTCTAAGGACTATTCCGTGTCAAAATTGTCAACCTTACACCTTGTACACAGAAACAAAATCCATTGGCAAAAATACTATATTGATGGTTTAAATTAAATACTCCCACCAATAGATTTGTGCAGAAACGAAATTCATTTAATTTGACTAATTTTTCTATCAAAACTACTACACCGTTTGAGTCAGCATAGTAGTTTTGACAGAATGGTAGTAAATTTGATTATATTTATAGTCAACTATACTGAAATCATGGTAGATTTAACGGTATTAAGCGTAGTTATACTGAAAATAAGTGTTTTCTGCAAAATAGTATTCCTAACTATTATCTTTGTTTCAGTGTACAGTGAGTTGAGTGTATTTAGTACAGAATTCATTCGCTAACTGGGCTGGAAACAGTGTAAAGTTTGTTATTGTTATTTTCACAGCATTCAAATCGCGAGATAGGGTTAACGCTTTCAAGTGTGAAATGAAAATAATTTAAAATAAAAAGCTCACTCATGAAAATTAATTACACCAGCAGATAGAGGAATGGTTCCTCTATCAGCAGGCATTGTTAATTTGGAGGAGTAAGCTTTTATTTGCGAGAAATCGACGGCTTAAGCCATTGTTTACAAAAGCAATTACGCCCCTTTGAAATGTTGGCACTGATTTAATTCTTGTTTTCCAAATACGACATCTGTAAACCTCGTCTGGCAGCACTTCTGGGGCTGGGGAATGCGTTTACCATTGCGACGAAGGAATGACCGAACGGAGAAGAAAAGTAGTCGCCACATCGCGATTCCTTTCGTTTCTTTGCCGTATTCACCACACCAGCCAATGAATGGGTTTCTGTATGAGTGTGTCGGTTCGTTAGTATCCCCCATCACCGACGTCGGTGTTGGTGTCATACACGCGGTTCGTGATTCGGATTGTCATGAAGAGACAGTGGATAGGAAAATAATACACTGAAATTCTCTGCAGTTACTGTGATTAGTATTTTGACAGCCAAATATAATCGCGAGTAATCTTGAAGAAAAACGTGCTTTGCGGACTTGAACGATTCTTGGGTAAACGGAGAAAAATCGGTATTTGTCATCGGGAAAGTGACTCGCTACCATCTTCGAACTGATTGGTAGTGAAGTGACCCTTCTGATGATATTTTTGTGACCTCCTTGGTCGGAGCACCTTTCACCATTTAAGCGAGAGAAAGCGAGAAAAAAGGGATCAAGCAGAAGAAGTTCAATATTTTGTTTTTTTTTTCGTTTCCTTTCCGGTCACTGCACTTTGTATGGCACTTATTTTTGGCACTTCTGGACCTGTGCTGACGCGCAATTTATGTGGCAACTTCTACCGACAGCAAACGGCAAGCCAAGTGCATTCAAGCTGGAGTCTCAAACGAGGACAAATCTCTAGAACCGGATCTTTGGCATATACAGTACAGTAAGTATATTTGCGAGTAAGGAATTCTTACAAAATCATACATGAATTTGTGGTGCTGCTACTGGGAAATGGTTTTCAATACCTTCAACAAAGATGTCGGCCTTCGGCAAAAGTAATAGTTATTTATTAATTATACGTAGGCCTGTGTGTTGCACTTAACATCAGGTCAAGGTTAAATGTGCTGCGGTTTGCTCGTGTTTTCGAAAATATGTTCGATCAATGACAGTGTGATATCTGGTGAAAACATGCATTTGGTCGCCTAGTTTCAAACTAACACTTCGATATAGTCATTCGATATCCGAGATATCTAGATATCACAGTAGAAAGTGAATGTAGTGATTAAATTATCATTGAGGCGCAGTGCTGTCGTCATGCAAGTTCGCGATAGTATATCAATGAAAAATGGACGGAATCCAAGATGGCAACGCTGGAAAAAGTAGCTGCAAATCAAAAGTCACATCGCATCGGCAAAAAATAAAGTAAAACTTGTCGACGTGGGATCTTGTGGCTTCTACCGCAGTGTGTGCTTTTACAACTACCGGACTTGCGAGCTGTATATATTTATAACCGCAAATGACCGGTTTCCTTCGTCTGTTTCAATTGCAGTGACATAGTGTTGTACATAGGTGTTTATCAATTACACATTCGAATATGTCTCAGTCAAACTTCACTTGGAAGTTTGTCTGTTTTGTATCCAGAACAGCAATATACGGTCGGAAAGGGGGGAGATCACGCTCGTTGCCTTGCGCTTACTTCATTCTGGATCCAGCCGAGGTAAAAGACCTCCACGGAAACGCATACACCCACAAAAACTAGTCGCGCAGTAAAATATAGATACAGGCAAGAACTTCAACGTAACAGTGTCCTAACAGGTTCGATCTTGAACCCCGCAACGGCAGTGTAATTGAACCATCATTAACCGGAGACGTTTTTCATTAAGCGAGGTCCTCATTAACCTCTTGCCATTCAGCAAAGGAAAACGAACCGATAGTGACACGTCGAAAGTGATTACGTGATGTTTTTGTTTTTTTTTCCTTTTTCCTGCGCCTAGCAGCCCGAGCTACACTGTACCAAAACATCATCCTCTGTTCATATGAATCCTCCGACCATTCGTATCGCTTTTGCGAATTTTTGCTGCAACCGGATGACGCTTGTTTTGAAATCAGATGAAGTTGCTCTTGAATACAGGATGAACATTGATACAACAAGCGAACGGATCTTCAGTTGAAATACGTAATGGTCTCTACATAATGATTGTCATCCCAAATTGGTTCAGTCCCTTAACATAAATCATTCAAAACGATGATGCAAATAATTCATTCGTACGTCATTTGCTGATACGAGCTTAAAACAGAGTAAAATGTAGAAACCGAATGACGTGATTGTTAAAGTTTCCTGTACCAACGGAAGCTTTTTTGTATCCATGATGGAATGGCTATTCATTATGGAAATGTATACTAGCGTAAACAATCGAAATCTAAATAAATATCTAGTTTTTGCATACTACAGTGCCATACCGTTTTTCGCAACAACAAGCTAATTATTCCCTCAAATTTGTGCTAGTGCATTTTGTACAATATTTCATTAAATACCTCGCATCTTTAATTCCCTAAATGACATCTTTAATTCTTTATTGGCATATCATCAATGGAATAAATCATTCGATAAATTTTCTAGACAACTAAATTTACAGCCAATTTAACATCATCCTTTATCTGGATAACAGTCATATGGATGTTCATCAGCTGACAACGAATTCTAAAGCATTGTTAAAGCGCTCGAGCAATGCAATAATCATTCAAAGTATTGCGGATGTTTTCGTTCAGTGTACACTTGTATCATTTTCCCGACGTACACACTCACTCAAACACATTCCTTTTGACTTACCTACGAATGTGGTACGAAATCGGAAGAATGTATGCGTTCTGAAACGCAATCGGGCGAAGGAATCAGGTTAGCGACATGGAATGAAAAATCAAAACAGAACACACAGGAACCGTTATGTTAACCAACCGCGACCCAGGACCTGTAAGCTTGGCAGGCATAATTCCATCATCCCCTAAACCATTTCGGTGTTTCGACGTGTCGGACGGGTTTTGAATGATCGGTGGTTGCGGTTAAAAGTGTGAGCTTATCAGTCATGAAACACATATTATCGGTGCGGTATCAGTTTGATTTGGTAGCAACAAATAGCAGTTAGCACAGCCATTCGGGTGCTCGGGTGCTCCATTATACAATGTAAGTTGGCAGCTCATTATCTGTTTGCGATGCTGCTACGACGATGGCGACGAGTTCATCCAGCGTGGATGGCCGTTAGAGTAAGGCGCAAATGTGTATTTGGGCTACATACGACGACCATTCACTGCTAATGGAAATGATTGGTTGACAAATAGGAGTGTGGTCTGTGCATGAGTTGAACAGAAAGCGGTAAATTGCGGGCCGGTAACATGTGTTGTAGCAGTAAAACGCTTCAATATGTGGCGACGTGGTGGGTTTTAATGGCGAATCATATAAATTAATATTGATTAAGGCATTTGGGGCTACCGGTGGGTAGAAGGTGGATTCATGCATAGCACATGGGCTCTGGCATAGTTGTCGGGGAACGTTGGCTGCAATTGTATTTTCGTCGATCTGGACCACATTACCAGTTAACGATGGAGACACCTTTGTAGCAGAGAGCTACCAATAGATTTCGTAGAACAGCATCGGAATAGAAATGAAGTAATATAATTAGGGGAGAGTGGGGCAGTTTGGCCACCTTAAAAATCATTACTAATCATACAAAATTCAGTGGAAAATTCGAATGATGTTTAATCCGATGGTTTCAATTCCTATTGAACATTAAAATTAAACTTTTGAATCTTATGCAAGAAGATTTTCAAAAAATCGTTTTGTAACCGAAATTAAACCGGTAAGATGAACGACCTTGTAAACAACGGGTTAGAATATTATGTTCTCTTGATGCTCTATGAAGGGTCAATAATGAACAGTTTTTGCATGAAAAGATTTGACAGAAACAATTTTTTCTGTAGAATAAATTAAATTTCAGAAATACTGCCTATTTAAAGCTATATTTGTTCAGTCTTGTGAATGACTGATTTGTAACCAAAACAGCTGCTTCAAAACGTGATTTCATATAAAACAGTGATATTTATAAAGGGAATAATGCAAACTTGAAGAATTTAAGTTGAAATATCAGTGGTGCTCATATTGCCCCGAATGGACTTAAGTAATATTTTGTTAAGAAAATCTTTAATGTTTATTAAAATGTAGTTTCATATGAGAAGCCAATGAGCTGCTGAAGGAATATCAGTGATAAGTTATAAGACACTACTGATAGATCTTATTTTCTGATTCAGAAATCTTATAACAGTTTTGACATTTGGAGCTAGTCTAACATTTTTCGAATATTTGCTCTAGAGGAAAGAATTTGGTTGAACTTAAATGAAATGGATAGTTGAAGTAGGCTTCAAGCATTAAGCCTAGTCCTAAGAAGTTATCTCAACTATTCCAAAAAATCCTGAGCTTCTATAAGGTTTACTGAGCATCTGATCAGTATGACGAACTTTTACGATATTTCCTGCACTGCAAGACTTCAATTATGCAGTTTCTCGAACTGCTACTAAGTTCGTTAGTAATACTACAACGTTTACTGTACTTCTAAAATTTGTGTTGATTTTTTGAGCCGCTGTTTAGAATATGTACTCTAATCGCTTAACCTTTCCCGTTTCGCTGAGTGTAAAAATCTGCATCCGTTGAACGAATGGTTGCAAGCAGGCTTGCTTCCACTCACTTGCTATAAAAACATGATTTTCTGAATTTTGTAATCATTAGATGTTATAATCATATTTTGTATTGTTAGATACAAGAAGAGGTTGAAAGGCAAGTGTTTGACACATGAAACCTGTCAAATTTGCTTTCAGATAGTCACAATCAGCGATTTTACGACTCGCGAGCGCTCACTCTGAGTGAACGCTCACGAATCATAAGATCGCTGATTGCAGCACCCTGGTAGCGAAATTGACAGATTTTATGAGTCAATCACTTGCCTTTCAACCTCTTCTTGTATCTAACAAGTACAAAACATCATTATCACATCTAATGATTTCGAAATTCAGGAAATCATTTTTTTATAGCAAGTGAGTGGAAGCAACCCTGGCTTGCAAGTATAGGAGACAACTCTTTTGGTGCTTGTTCAGTGGCGTCGCGTCAACATGTGCAACCTGTGCACGACACAGGGGTAAATAATTTAAAAAAAGGGCATGTAGATTTTTATAGATTTTATGGTCACATTATAGCTGCATTTCTTTACTCCAGACCACAAGTGACCATGAATACACTATTTTATAGTGTGACTCAATTAAATCTTCGACCTTGGTTTGCTTCAAAAAATATTAAATTCAGTTAAAAGCATGTCGATATCACTACCATGACAAAACTCGTTAAATATTGCACGGCAAGTTTGTGAATGGTCAAATGCCTGATGTAAACCAAGCAGACGTTCTATCACCTCTTGAAACATAACACAAATTTTCCACAATACATGCCGGTTTTCACCACTAGTTCTTCTTCTTTCCTTTATTTAACGTCGATCTCTGTTCCGCAATCTAGTGCCAATCATCGACGGACATCGATTGCCATCCATTGATTGCAATCGAATGTGCAGGAAGGCAGCTTCCACATCTGCGTAGAATATCGCACCCATTCAACACACATGGGCCGGGACCAACGGCTGTACTTCCCTTCCGAAGGAAGACGTGACCAGAGATTTTTATGCCTCAGAAAAATCCCACCGACCTCGGCTGGGATTGAACCCAGACCCATCGGGGTGTTAGAAAGCAGTCACGCTTCCACTACACCACTGGCGCCGGCTTCACCACTAGTTGTAATTGAAACTTTCAGCAGTCACGCGTCAAACGGGAGCAACACGGAGACAGCAGTCTCTGACTCTCTTGTCAGTTGTAAATCTCTCAATTAGCAATGGTTGCGCCGGTGCGCTTCCCCTGGTTCATTCTGATAGTGTTGTTCTGATGAATAAAGAGTTGATTAATTCAAGTTTGCTAACCCGTTGGGTTCGTGGAGCGGCGATGCTGCAGCAAGGAACCCGTCATAATGTGGAGCGATATAAACAGAAGCGAAGACAGCAAACCCATCTTTTCCGGGATAAGAAGCGCAGCCTGGAAGAGCTGGAGTGCGAAGAAATGGAGCAGCTGTACCGTTCTCAAGAAACACGCAAGTTCTACAAGAAACTCAACGTATCCCGCCAAGGTTTTGTGCCGCGAGCCGAAATGTGTCGGAAGGGGGTATCTTAACGGACGAACGTGAGGTGATTGAAAGGTGGAAGCAGCACTACGATGAACATCTGAATGGCGTAGAGGCGGAGGACCAAGGCGGCAGGAGGAATGGCTTCGTCGGTACAGCGGATGAGGGGGACATGCCAGCTCCCACGATAGGTGAAGTTGAGGATGCTATCCGACTGCTTAAGAACAACAAAGCAGCTGGGAAAGATGGTATCGGAACCGAACTTATCGAAATGGGCCCGGATAAGTTGGCCAGTTGTCTGCACCGACTGATAGTCAGGATCTGGGATTCAGAACAGCTATCGGAGGAGTGGAATGAGGGAGTAATATGCCTAGTATATAAAAAGGCGACAAACTAGAATGTGAGGACTATCGAGCGATCACTATTCTTAACGCGGCCTACAAAGTGCTTTCCCAGATCATCTTTCGCCGCTAGCAAGCAAATTTGTGGGAAGTTATCAAGCCGGTTTTGTGGACGGGCGATCGACAAAAGTGTCGTGAATATCAAGTCCCTACGCACAACCTAATCATCGATTTCAAGGCCGCTTATGATACTATTGACCGTGAAGAGCTATGGAAGATTATGGACGAGAAAGGTTTTCCCGGGAAGCTGACCAGACTGATCAGGACTACGATGGATGGTGTACAGTAATGCGTGAAGATATCGGGTGCGTTATCGGACTCGTTTGAAACTCGCAAAGGACTTCGACAAGGCGATGGTTTTTCCTGCCTCCTGTTCAACATTGCGCTAGAAGGTGTTATGAAACGTGCGGGCTTTAACATGCGGGCTTTAACATGCGGGGCACGATCTTCAATAAGTCCAGCCAGTTCATCTGCTTCGCTGACGACGTGGACTTTGTCGGAAGAACGTTTCAGGCCGTGGCGGAGCAGTACACCAGGCTGAAACGTGAAGCAGAGAAGGTTGGATTAAAGGTGCATACGTCGAAGACAAAGTATCTGTTAGCTGAAGGAACCGAGCGTGATAGGACTCGCATAGGCAGAAGCGTGACAATCGACGGGGACGAGTTCGAGGTGGTGGATGAGTTTGTGTACCTCGGAACAACTGCAGCAGAGAAATTCGTCGGCGTATTATTGCCGGAAGTCGTGCTTACTACGGACTCCACAAGACCCTGAGGTCGGGTAAACTTCACCTACTAAATTTGCCATATAGAATACGCTAATAAGGCCGGTAGTTCTCTACGGGCACGAGACGTAGACGATGCTTGAGGAGGACCTGCAAGCACTGGGTGTTTTCGAACGACAAGTGCTTAGGAACATCTTTGGCGGGGTATGTGAGAACGGTGTATGTGGAGGCGAAGGATGAACCACGAGCTACCGCAACTCTATGGCGAACCCTGTATCCAAAAATTTGCGAAAGCTGGACGGGTACGATAAGCGGGACACATTTTAAGAATGCCGGACAACAATCCCGCAAAAATGGTGTTTGCCTCGAATCCGGCCGGTACAAGACGAAGAGGAGCACAGCGAGCAAGATGGTTAGACCAAGTGGAGCAGGATCTTGGAAGTGAGTGATGGTCAAGAAATTGAAGACAAGCAGCCACGGACCGAATGAATTGGCGTAACATTGTGATGCAGGTGCAATCCTGAGGGATGTCGGACCAGGATAAGTAAGTAACCCAGGGGAATTCATGAATTTTCTCTTAGATTTTGACACTGTTTTGTATCAAAAAATGTTTACGGAAGTGTTTGACGGATGTTCTTCATTACACTTCAGTCGAAAGAGTTAGCCTTGTGATAAAAACGAGATTTAGTTAAGTTTTGCAATTCTTCGTCCTGTGTTTAGCGCGAAAAGGGCCATACAAGTTTGGTTTACACAAGATGATATGACCTTTAAATGTTACGTTAGGTAGTGATTAATATAGTAATTGAGAATATGTCCCTCGAATGCATGGAGCATTGAAAAATAAAATAAAAACTAATATGTGGTGGTCAACTATACGAACAAAGTTTGGTGCACAGGTAAACAAATGAGGCTACCTCGTAAGTGAACTTTATATCCTTGTGAATGCTGTTGATCAAATCTAACATTTGTGGAAAGATATCCCATTTAACTACGCTGAAGATATCGTCGACAAACCTCCACCAATGGTTTGATTTCTCCTTCAGGATTGAAAAGCTCACACAAGAGCTGGGATCGGGGGTTTCTTAATTGGAAAGGATAAGCAAAGTACATAGTGGAAATTACTAATCCTTAATCTTCTTTCTTTATAAATGTGAGTCGTTTTTATTATACCTACTGTCGTGAACATGGCCCTTGTAATTCCGTATGATCCATTTTGACGAGTATGGCGCATGCGTAGTTGTGATTATAAGCTACGCACCATGCTCTCTTAGGCACGCAGAACTTCCCATAGAGCAGCGACGACCGTTGAGTCGTGCCATATCTCTCCTGTAAGTGTATCGCCTCACAGAGCGTATCCAAATATCGATAACCGCTGTGCAATGCAAACAATCTCTGCTAACGAACGGTTCCTCTTACACCTATCCATCTCTCTGTCTCTTTCTATACTCGTAACCCGATCAAAGCTGGAGATCAAATTGAAATCAAAATTTGCTGTTGAGATGTAACATTTTTTACATCTTTACAACACAGCAAAGAGCATAATTTGACTTTGTTGAATCATACAAATCCTGCATATGCTTCTCACGCTGGAATCCCGGACATCTTACGGATGACCTAAAATGGGCTAAACAAAAGTAACAAACAATAATCGACAGATGATATTAAATTAAATTTTCAATAAGTCGTTAACAGTAAAACTTGACTTTAAGGTTCATTCATTTAAACATATTTTGACTGCATAATGAAAGCTTAATATTATATCAGCCTTATTTCGTATGAAGATGGCCATGAACATTGTGTGAAATGCAAACTTTAAAATCGATTTGCTTTCATTTTGTTAACCGACTTTGCTCGGGTAGCTTTGTACCTTCGGTGCTGAGCCGTTTCTTTCCCTCATTTTGATTTATCTTCCACTTCTAGTGGAGCATCGAAAATTCCTGCTACCCACATATGTAGCTGGATCTTGACCAGTGAGCGATATCAATCCGTTCCTTGCTTCCTATTACATACTCCAGATTTAAAAGCCTGTTCGCGTTAACTAGAGTTGTAATAGTTCAATCTACACTTTCTTTGGTAGCTGCACTAGCTTTCCACCACTATGCCTCGCCCTCGTTCGTCGCGATCTTAACGAGTTATTCTGGTAATCTTCTGCGCACACATTGGTAGGTGGTACCAGCGATCCGCTATGGTTATGTTATACTCTCATGCCGTTTGCGCAGGCAGCTCACACATGTAGTGTGCGATTGGATTGCAGCACTTCTCACCTTTCCTTCTACTGTTGCTGCTGTTGTAATAGTAGTAGTAATAGTAGTAGTAGTTGTTGTTGTTAATCGTCAGTGAGTGCCACGTGTTTGCGCCGGGGATCGCGGATGGGGTTGTGTGAGAAATAGGTGGATGTAGATGATATCGTGTATGTTTGGGGAGCAGGGATCGCGGTATGGGTGCGAAGGATATGATGACGACCACTCAAGCACTAGAACCAGCTAGCGCAGAGCAGGTTCATTGACCTTGTAGTATTGGATCTATTTTAATTTGGAATGTTTTTCTCTTCTTTCTCTTTCCACACAGTGTTACTGTAAAGACTTGCTACGAAAAAGGACTTTTCTCTTCAAGCAGTAAAACAAGCAGCAGTGATGGAGGATTCAACAGGTTGGTTGTTTGCATTTAAGGTTTTTTTTTGAAGATTGCTAACCTCCTCTATTTTTTGCTTCCCCCCTCATCCATTGCAGTAGTTGACCAGCAGCCCAGCAACTCCGCGTACGAGAACAACGTTGCTTCGACGGCCCCGACCCCGTGCTACGATGATCTGTTTCCGGCCCTGCCGGAGAGCGCCCCACCGCGCTTCAACAATGCGACCCTGTCGGCGGCCACGCAAAACATGCGCGTCGGCAGCTCGGTCGTAACGCAGGTCTTCATTGTGCCATCGGGTGAGCGCAAGTACGACTCGGACAAGTTTGGCGAGGGCGAATCGTTGCGCACCTGTCAGAACATCATGAAGGAAACCAACGCCCACATCGAGATCTCGAGTGGAAAGGACCAATCGTTGACTTTCCTGGTGACTGGCAAGCCGAACGAGGTGATCGAAGCTCGCCGGAAGATTTTGGTACACTTCCAAACGCAAGCGAGCAAGTCGATCAGCATCCCGCGGGAGCACCACCGCTGGATCCTCGGCAAGAAGGGCGACAGGTTGCGCGAGCTGGAAAAGATTACCGCTACGAAGATCGCCGTGCCACGTATCAACGACGAATCGGATGTCATCACGATCTCCGGTACCAAGGAAGGTATCGAGAAGGCCGAACATGAGATCCGTACTACGTCCGATGAGCAATCGCGTAAGGCCTTCGAGCGGGTTAACATCCCTAAAATCTACCATCCGTTCATCGTGGGACCGCATAACGAAAACGTCAGCAAAATGATGGAGGAAACCGGAGCGAAGATCAACATTCCGCCACCGTCGGTGCAGAAAGATGAGATAATCATCACCGGCGAGAAGGAAGGTGTGCTCCAGGCTAAGGCACGCATTGAAGCCATCAGTAAGGATATGGAGAAAAAGTGCACCAGCGTTGGCGTTGAAGTTCCCCGTGCCCAGCACAAGTACATCGTTGGTCCGAAGGGTTCCACCATTCAGGAAATCTTGGCAATGACCGGTGTTTCGGTTGAGATGCCGTCCAGTGACTCTAACAACGATACCATCACTCTGCGTGGCCCGCAAGACAAGCTCGGAAACGCTTTGAGCGTCGTGTACCAGAAGGCGAACTCCGTTCGCACGACTACGCTCGAGTGTCCGCAGTGGATCCACAAGTACATCATCGGACGTGAAGGCGGTCATATCAAAGAGTTTACCGCCCAATATCCAAATGTACATGTGGAGTTCAATGAAGACAAGATCAAGATCGAAGGCCCGCCAGAGCAGGTGGATGCTTCCTCGGAAGCGCTGGAGAAAATGGTCAAGGACTACATTGAGCGTCTTACCTTCACCGAGATGGTGGTTGATCCGATCTACTGTAAGCATATTATCGGTAAGAACGGAGCAAACATCAACCGTATGAAGGAGGAGTACGAGGTGCTGATCAACATCGACGAGAAGGACGTGAAACCGATCCGCATTGAAGGACCGGCCGTCGGCGTTGAGAAGGCCAAGCAGGAGCTGCTTGAAAAGATAGCGAAACTGGAAAACGAAAAGGAAGAGTCGATCGTGATTGATCATCGTCTGTTCAAAACGATCATCGGCGCGAAAGGCGAAACGATTCGGGAGATCCGCGACAAGCACAACCAGGTGCAGATTATCTTCCCGGGACCTACCGATAAGTCGGATATTGTGAAAATCCGTGGACCGCGCGAGGACGTGGACAGGTGTCACAAATATCTGACCAAGTACGTAAAGGAGCTGCAGAAGAACTCCTTTGTGATGGAGGTCCCGATCTTCAAGCAGTTCCACAAGTATATCATCGGTAAGGGTGGAGCCAACATCAAGAAGATTCGTGATGAGACCCAGACCAAAATCGATCTTCCGGCAGAGGGTGACAAGAACGAAGTAATTGTCATTACTGGCAAGAAGGAAAATGTGAAGGAAGCACGCGATCGTATCCAAAAGATTCAGGAAGAGTTGGCCAACATCATCACCGAGGAGATTCAGATCCCTCCCAAGTACTACAACTCGCTGATCGGATCCGGCGGTAAGCTGATTTCATCGATCATGGAGGAATGCGGTGGAGTTTCGATCAAATTCCCTAGTCCGGAATCGAAGAGCGACATGGTGGCCATCCGCGGTCCCAAGGAGGACGTCGAGCGTGCCAAGCAACAGCTGGTGGAGCTGACGAACGAGAAGGAGCTCTCGTCCTTCACTGCCGAGGTTCGTGCCAAACCGCAGCACCACAAGTTCCTGATTGGCAAGAACGGGGCTTCCATCAAGAAGATCCGGGACCAAACTGGTGCTAGGATTATCTTCCCGGGTGAGTGGCGAACTTAGTTATTTTTATGTTGACATATCACTTCTTAGGGCCCATGCATTAATTATGTCACGCTAAATAGAGGAGAAACTTATCCGTTACTTCTTCCATATTCCTGCCGCCACTCACTCCAGGTGAGTGCTGGCTAAACTCGCTGGACAAGAGTGTTTTAAAACCTAAAGTGAGTTTGAGGAGTTTCAGCAAGCCTGAATTAAGCTTGGTTCATCAAAGAATAATATTAGCACTTCTAGACTAGACCGATAAATATGGGAGGTTAGGTAATTTTCTAACAGAAGTTATGTGCAAAGTGGATTTCGTCGTAAAACCTCATAATTTACACCAGAATTCTAGGAGAGCCAAGTTTTCTAATCTACCTTTTTTTATTCTCCCCCTCTCAAATGCTGCAGGTATAAACGACGAGGACAAGGAGGCCATCATCATCATCGGCAAGAAGGAAGGCGTGGAGGAGGCCAAGATCCAGCTGGAATCGATCATCAAGAACATCGACAACATCGTCGAGGACGAGATCAATGTGGAGCCCAGGCATCACAAGCACTTTGTGGCCCGTCGTGGCGAGGTGCTGCACCGTATCTCGGAAGAGTACGGAGGTGTGATGATTTCCTTCCCTCGCTCGGGTGTAGACAGCGATCGGGTCACGCTGAAGGGTGCCAAGGAATGCATCGAGGCGGCCAAGGCTCGAATCCTGGAGATTGTCGAGGACCTGGAGCAGATGGTAACGATCGAGTGCATCATCCCGGCCCGTAACCATCGCATTGTTATGGGCAAGGGCGGTTCCAAGGTTCAAGGAATTACGTCGGAGTTCGAGGTGAACATCAAGTTCCCGGAACGAGACGCGCAGGAAGCGTTCGTCGAGGGACAGCAGAATGGCGATGTGAACGGAGGCGAGCTAATCAAGACGACGGATATTATCAAAATCAGTGGTCGCAAGGAGAAATGCGACAAAGCAAAGGAGGCCCTGTTGGCACTGGTCCCAATTACCGAGGAGATTACTGTTGCGTTCGATTTGCATAGGTCATTGATTGGTCAAAAGGGCCGTGACGTAAAGGAACTGATGAATACGTACGATGTGCACATTGAGTTGTCGCCGCAGGACATGAAACTGGACATCATCAAGGTGACCGGTGCCAGAGCTAACATTGAGGAAGCCAAGATTGCAATTGCCAAGCGAATCGAAGAGTTGGAAGCAGATCGCAAGGACCGTGAACTGCGTTCATTTGAGATTAAGGTCGAAATCGATCCGGAATACCACCCGAAAATTATTGGACGTCGCGGTGCCGTAGTGAACAAGATCCGAGCTACGCACGGAGTGCAAATCTCGTTCCCGAAGCAAGATGATCCTCAGAACAATATTATCTCCATCTCAGGGTACGAGACCAACGCTAATGCCGCCAAGGATGAGATCTTGGGAATCGTCAATGAGCTGAACTCGATGTACCGCGAGGAGGTCTCCATTGACGAGCGTGTCCACCGTCGCTTCATTGGATTCAAGGGACGTCGGGTCCGTGAGATCAAGGAAATGTTTAATGTGGAAATCAGTTTCCCACGCCCGGAGGACCGGGATCAATCGCTCATCACCATCGCTGGTAATAAACAGGACGATGTTGAAGCTTGCCGCGACCATCTGCTCAACTTGGAAGAGGAATTCCTTCAGGATGTAGTTACCGCTGCACCGCCACAGCAGACCACTTTCACCCAGTTCCTGGAGGACTCGATGAGTAACAACCGGGAGACCACCCGGCAGGGCTTCGTAGTTCAGGGTGCCCCATGGGAGCGTAAAACTCCCAACACTCAGTCGCAGGAGGACTTCCCTGATTTCGGCCTTGGACCGGCTCCGGCCGAGCAGGCTCCCCAGGCTCCGATCGCTTCGGCCTGGAACGCGCGCCACTAAGCAGAAAAGCGTTAGCAGACTCACATAAACACATACAGCAATCTATAACGGAGAGAGAGAGACAACAAGAGAGAAGTCAATTTTCCTCCTTCAATAACAACAATAATCAACAATGTAATAGCAGCGACCGGTTTCGTGTCTGTCTAAAAAAGAAAAAGAATGAAAAACTTCTCAACCTAATGCATCTATTATGGGACTCGTTATTTTGATCTCTCGCTCTCTCATACGCTTTTTTGTGAGGAAGACCCTTTATCAAGCAGTCTGATGAAAAAGAGAAAATATTAACATTGAGTGAAGCAACTTTATACACAACTAAGACAAATATCATTGTTCGTTTTTTTTTAATTTTTTTTTCTGGTTCTACGTTATTTTTTCGCTAATACCAATATTGCGGGAATACAAGACTAGTGCAAGTTGTACATAAAGCTGATGAAGAAGATGAAGAAACAAAAAAAAAAAGAAACAAGGAAGCCAAGAGGAATTTTGATTCTAGAGAAACGAAAAGAACGCAAAATGCAAAACTCTACACTACTACTTGCAGGACTAGAAGAGACGAGGGAAAATTTATATTAAATTTCACACGGTAGAAACCTCACCATTTAATTGTGTATGAAACATTATTATAACAAAATAATATATTTAAAAGTTTTGTATTTAGACAAAAAAACAAACAACGTGTTGTGGATTGAGTTCAGAAAGCCGTAAACGGGAAAATTGGGTAAAGGTTTTGCGCTATTTTGTTCGGCCTTGTTTCTTTTGTGTCGGCGAACCTTTCTTCTTCTTCGTACATGAATGGAAAATTGGCTGTTCTTCGCTGTGCTGTTGCTTAGTGTTTTGAGGGGGAAACGGGATTTAATTTAGGACGAGGTTTTGCCACTCATTCAGTCCTATTTACGTAGAAAAATTAGATTGAACTTGATTCGAACTCTGAGTTCTGCCGCTATTCGCATACCAGTCCCATGTCTTGAGCATTTCCTATCTACATGGTACTTTAATGCTAACTGCGGTAAAGTAGAATGTATATAGAGTAATTTGATGATTACATCGATCCTTTAGCCAGCTTCGATATTCGTCTCCAGTAGCTCAATTTCAGTTATGGAACAATTTACAAAGTCCTCTGTTCTGTTGAAAGATGCACTCTAGTGATGACAGTTGTGATGTAGTGGACCAAAAGTTTGTTGGAATTTAACTACTAGCCAAAATAGTTTTATTTAGAATTTTGATTTTACCTATTAATTGTTTTTTTTTAACATAAAAAAATGTATTTGGTTCAAAACTTCTGAAATGCGACATCACACGGTACTACATTTGAATTTGGCTTGATCGACGTTTACCAAGCCTATCCTGTGACTTTAGCTTACACACTAGCAAGCCCCCAAACTCCTTTAACACTTAGAGTTCTTTGCATCTCTTTTTTTGAAAGTGTTCAACTAACAATCCTGTCACATCCCCAGAAGTTGCAAGGATGTGACCAGGACAGTTCTCGATTGTTGGAGAGGGTAATACCTCCGTTTAAGCGGCCGAGATCAACTCCGAATTTCAGTCTTTGGGGTAATGGACGAAGGTGGCACTACTCTCATACAATGTTCTGGCCATTGTACCACCTACGAATTTGTGCAACTAACTTAATGCGAATTCCTGTATTGAGACATCACTATTATGTCGCGGATACACTTGGATGACAAACTATGAGCTTGAGGGTGGGCGTTGGCCAGATTTGGATTTTTCAGATATAATTCTAAATAGGACCCAGATTATTTAATACTCTAGTAACCTCAAGTCCGTGCTCTGTCACAATGTTTCATTGTGATTAATCAACACTCAAATTTGGGGCGAATTAGAAAGAAAGGGAACTTGGAGTGTAGAGCGCACTGCCCACTGGACGATTCTGAAGCCTAGACAAGTAAGTGGGGCATGGATTTATTTGATTTAACGTCACTTCCAATTTATAAATTGATACATTCAAACCATTGGCATTTGGTATTTGAGATAAGACCGAAATAGGATGCGGAAGGCCCGATACGGGGGGAGCGTAACCCATGTTATGGTTTCCATTTATTAACTAGTTCAGATAGGCTAGAAATGACAGGTTCATAGTGAGAGAATGTACCATCACTGATCAAAATCAGATTAACATCGTCAGGCCCTGTCCAAGAATAAGGGGATTGACGATGATTTGTCAAGTTTCATTTTGCATTTGCATATAATTGTAATTTTAAGTTTGCTTTTGTAATTATAAGATAAATAGTTTACCTCAATTGAAACAATGAGTTGTATAAACTTGACAAATCATACATCTAACATAGTAGTAGTTTCAGTGTTGCATGATCTAACAACCACTGCCTGTAACTAATATTACGGATCAAAACTAACATAACTCTAACACTAAAATGATCCCGAAACAAATGCAAATTTATTGCACTGTAAGTCATAAATTAGTTTTATTTATTTTCGGTAGACATTGGCCAAAATTGGATTTTTTTTATATATAATCCTAAAAGGGACCTAGATTATTTAATAGTCTAATAACCTCAAGTCCGCGGTCTCAAGTATGAAATTTGAGATGAATTTGAAACAAAGGGAACTTGGATTGTAGAGTGCACTGCCCACCGGTTGATTCTGAAGTCTGGCCAAGTAAATGGGTTAGGGTCTAATGATTTCTGAATGGACAATACAGTGCAGGTGGATATTTTATTTTATACTCTCTATATTATAATCTTTGAATCAGTTTTAGGGTTTTGGGTTAACAGAGGCAGAGCGCGGAGGGACCGCTTAGGGAAAGCATAATGTTCATACTTTAAGGGTTCAGAGCGGCTGAGCTGTTCGGTGGTAGTTTTACCTTCCTTTCAAACCCAATTTGGCTCTAGCACAATTTTAAACTTGTTCTGCGTTATTCACAATTATTGAAAAGAGCTCGATATAAAGTAATGCATTCAATTAGAAATGCCAAAATCTTAGCGAGTAGTTTAGCTGTTCTGATTTCCGATTTCTGTACAGTTTGTTGAGATCGGGTATAGTTTCTGAGTATGTTGTTTGTGGATTCTCATTTTGAAATAACTCAGATTAGCACAGAGTAATAGATTTATTGCTAGGGAACTTTTTTTTGGGATTGTCTTTTCTTCACACAATTCTCATTATTCATATAATAACCAGTCTTAGACAATGTTATATGTTTGCGCCCAGTTCTAGATTAGTTTGTTATTAATATCTTTTGAATTGCGCTCGCGAGATGTTACCAAATATGGGTTCTCTTTTTCATCCATAATAATTTGGGGAGAGTTAGAAAGTGAAACGTTGCGATCTAAGAGCGAAATAGAGGCAAATAAAAGAGGGATCACAACACCATGACCCAAACGATTAATTAACGCATGCGGCTAACTATTCACTTGTTCTATTTATTTCTTCCTCTTATGTACCAATATTTGAGAACACGGCCAGATGTTAAATAGAAAGGAAAAAAAGCAAGAAAGCGTGAACAAGAGTATTGCACGAACTGACGAGTACAACGGGAAGGACAGTAGGTGTATAGGGGGTTAGACCCTAGATAAGCCAACTTAGGGGCTGTTCATAAACTACGTAGACCGATTTTTTAGAGGTTTTAGCCCCCCCCCCTTCCCGCGTAGACAATCGTCCATACATTTTTTTTTCAATTTGTATAGACCGTAGATACTTGTCACCCCCCTAAAGAGTCTACGTAGTTTATGAACAGCCCCTTGCGGTTGCCACAGCCTATACACTGAACAATTACAATTACAATTATAATAATTATGAGCACTATTTGTTTATTTGTTTATTTGTTATGTTTGCATCAACAGACTAGAAATAGTCCCAATGTTGTGTTGTAAAAAAAGTACAGATTATATATATACAGACTCCATATACTACAGTAACAAACGAAAATAACTAGGAAAGCATTGTCAAGTTACTAAAAATGTATAAGTCTTAAATTTTACATTTAGCTGTTGGGCGACAACAAGTATTCAAGTGTGACCATGGATGTGCTCATAATTTATTATACAAATAATGGTCAAGCATTTAATAATAATAATGATAGCAAATAATGATCAAACATTTTCTTTAACTGTTTTTTTTCCTTTGGTTTGTTTTCCGTCGATCTTGTTTTCCATGCTGAGTACCAATGCCATCGACGCCAGGGAGCCAGTTCCCACACCTGGACCCTACCTATCGACCTATCAACTCATGAACCGGGGACAAACGGCTTTACTTCCCTTCCGAATGAAGGCGTGATCAGAGATGTTATGCCTCAGAACATCCCGGTGGTGCCGACTGGGATTAAACCCAGGCCTGCTGGGGTGAGCTTCTTTAATTAATCAAAAATCATCTTCTTAAAAATAAACCTCATACGGGGCAAGAGTGCCACTCCGACATTTATGTATAAAATCAGAGTTGGCTTGCACAATATTCTGCACAAATTGCTCATTTGCAAATAGCTTTGCACTGACTTGATGGTTTTTCTTGAAGCTACCGATAAAAAAGAGTTTGAGGTTCATAACGGAACGTAAATCACATTCTATAAAAGTTCGGAGTCTACAATCAATTTAATAATATGTTTTTGTGTCAGTGTTGGAATGTTAACAGCTGCGGGTGCGTCTTCTTCTTGTTTCTGAAAAATCAATGAATGCTAAGATTTCTGTGAACTGGCAATATCGGCTTCGAAATCAATTAATAACAAAGTCTAATCAAAAAGTTGTCTTTATCAAAGTTGTAGCTGTAAAAATTTCAAAAAAAAAAAAAAAACGATAGCAAGCTTACCAGTACCTATATCATTATGACAAAGGGCTAGGACAATGAGAACAAAAAGTTCACTTTTCTTATAGTAAATTCCATATAAATTTCAAAGGACCAGTGTAGTATGAGTTCGCATCTAAATAAGCTAAAAATGATAATGATTTGGAATCGATTGAGTTTGGTGAAGAATTTGAGTAACCCTAATAGATATGCATTTAGAGAAAATCTGTTCTCATGTTTGCAAAGGACTATTATTGAACAATTCATTATCGTGAATTCAAATGTTGAAATTTATCTACTACTGTGCAAGTCTACAATGAGCTCTGATCTTATTTTATCATGATGATATGATGATAGTGGTTTACCACCCATTTTAGCACGGAAACTAAGTCCGACAGCAGTGGGCTCTCTTCTCTGTTTATCTTGATCAAGCTTAATAACCTCTGATTGTCCTCAACATGTCGCCGTATGAAGGGCCAAAAACGGATTGGGTAAATCGATAGGCAAAGTCGCCTATACGCATCTACGGAACAATAAAGAATCGCCTTCCAGCAACTTGATCAACCAATTGGTCAAAAAGACAAGCCCCCAAACAGGAAGATGCCCCAATGAGTGGGGAGAAGAGCCCGCCCTTTATCCACGAAATTTTATCAACAGGGAGTTGCCATTCCCACTCTCCCCGTCCAAATAGCTTCAATCGGGTGCCCTGTTGGACCGTCCTTTCCCTTTTATTTATGTATTACAATGTATATAAGAGTTGATTG